TTTCCAGAGCCTCCAGCAGTGCCTGGTGCTTATTTATTGAATAAGTGAATGAACAAATGATTTTTTGACACTGATGGGTATTGAAAGTTAATAGCCTAATAATACAAGGAAACAAAGACAATGCCTATTATCATGTGAACACACGCACACACACACTCACTACTTCAATTTGCCCATGTTTATGACTTTCCATGGAAAAAGATGCAAAATTTCTGCCCTTTAGAAGACAGTGCATTTAAATAACTAATGAGCAAAACTCCTTTTCCCCTATTCTATTTCTTAAGGATCCTCTGACTTAGAAATGCCTAATACACTCTTCCACATTGGTCTTAACATATTTTCAAGCACCGTGTCTGACCAGGCAAGGGAAACAATAGAAAAAATAAATGAATGAGACTACATCAAACTAAAAAGCTTCTGCACAGCAAAGGAAACCATCAACGAAATGAAAAGACAACCTAATAACTGGGAGAAGATATTTGCAAACCATATATCTGATAAGGAGGTAATTTCCAAAATATATAAAGGACTCATACATTTAAACAACAAAAAAACTAACAATCCAATTAAAAAAATGGGCAAAAGATCTGAACAGACATTTCTCCAAAGAAGATATACAGATGGCCAAAAGTCACATGGAAAGGGTGTTCAATATCATTAACTATCAGGGAAATGCAAATCAAAACTACAATGAGATATCACCTCACTCTGGTTAGAATGGCTACAATTAACAAGACAGGAAACAAGAAGTGTTGGAAAGGATGTGGAGAGAAGGGAACTCTCATACACTGCTGGTGGGAGTGCAAAGTGGTGCAGCCACTATGGAAAACAGTATGGAGATTCCTCAAAAAATTAAGAATAGAACTACCATATGATTCAGCTATTCCACTGCTGGCTATTTATCCAAAGACATAAATCTGTAAGGATGTGTGCAACCCTATGTTCATGGCAGCATTATTCACAATAGCCAAGGGTTGGAAGCAACCTAGGTGCCCATTAAGGGATGAATGGATAAAGATGTGGTATGTGTGTATATATATATACACATATACATATTCACACAAAGGAATACTACTCAGTCATAAAAAAGGATGAAATCTTGCCATTTGTGATGACATGGATGGACCTTGAGGGTATTATGCTAAGTGAATTAAGTCAGAGAGAGAAAGTCAAATACCACATGATCTCATTCATAAATAGGAGATAGAAACAACAACAGAGAATGGATTTTGGTTATCTGAGGGGAAGGGGGGAGGGAGGAGGGCAAAAGGAGTGATTAGGAACATGTGTGTGGTGACGGATTATAATTAGTCTTTGGGTGATGAGCATGATGTAATCTACACTGAAATTGAAATATAATAATGTACACCAAAATTCATATTATATTTTAAATGAATATTACCTCAATTAAAAAAAAAAAGAGGGGCCAGCCAGGTGGCACAGTGGTTAAGTTCGCACGTTCCACTTCTTGATGGCCCGGGGTTCACGGGTTCGGATCCCTGGGTGCAGACATGGCACCGCTTGGCAAAAAGCCATGCTGTGGTAGGCATCCCACATATAAAATAGAGGAAGATGGGCATGGATGTTAGCTCAGGGACAGTCTTCCTCAGCAAAGGGAAGATTGGCAGTAGTTAGCTAAGGGCTAATCTTCCTCAAAAAAAAAAAAATACAGAAGAACAACAACAAAAGAAATGCGTAATATAGGTTCTGTATACAGAAGGTCCTCAAAAAAGTATGCAAAGGGTAAACATCATTTCAACACAGTTTATCTGGAATTGTAATTTAATTCATTGCAAATCACCACATCCTTTGCAGCATTTTTTGCCTGTTGGAAATAAACACTGAGGGGGGAAGGGCACAGGTGGGGCAGATCCTATTCGTCTTTGTGTTCTCAGTGCACACCACTTGGGATACGATAGGACTCAGTCATGTTGGTTGAATGTGTGACTCAATCCTAAAAGGAGACTTGCAGGAACTGAGGATAATTAAGCTGGAGAAGTCGTCTTTGAAGAGGAGACAGGATTGCTATCTTTGGATGTTTGAAGGCCTAACCTGTGGCAGAAGGAGAGCTGAATGAGAACACTATGTGGCTGCTTCCAATAGGCAGATTTTTATGTGTCACACATCAGCAGAGGAACAACTTGATCATAAAACCAAAACCCAGAAGAGAAAAAGTTGCATTCTTTTTCTGGTTTTATTTTGTCCAAGGCATTTTTATGCGGCACCTTATTTCTCCCTATTATTCATTCCCTTGTTTTCTCCAAGGTTCAATGTATGAGTCCCTGATTCACTAGGAAAACTCCAGCTCTCCATCACTATAGCTGCTTCCTGGGGAATGATGATTCTTTCTGGCTTTCTTAGGATTCTGTGGCTACATCGGTTGAGAGTGATATACAGTTCTACTTTTGTCTCCAAAGATGAGATCTAAGACACGTGGTAAGACATAAGTCAATTTCAGAGCTACCTAAACCTTCACAGCATCGTTCCTGGTGAATGTCATATTGCTAAGGACTCCTCACAAATCAACATGACAAGTTAGTCTCTATAGACAGCGCTGTGTCTGTTGCCCTTGGTATTATTGGTGCATTACATTGTTATTAATATGTGTGGTATCTTGGATTAAAAATATTACCTTGGTTTTCGTTTGGATGATAAAAATCTCAATTATTGGGCTATTACACATCAATCTTTTCTACTTTAAATCCAGACCTCATCCTCTGCTTAGAAAATGCGAGTAATTTAAGAAAAGTGCTGTAACTTAGAGACCCAGAGCAGGAGTAGAAAGTGTTTCAACCTGAAGTCTCCTTCAGAATCCTTATATAATCTTAGGTAAATTACCCAACTTCTTAGCATCTCATTTTTCTACCCATAAATAATGTTAGCAAGAGAATTGACTATATTCTTCCTGTTGAAGGATGGAGGTATGCTTAAAAATTCCAGGCATGTAATATTAAATTGTCCCTGAAAATAAATAGCGTAAAAGTGACTAACTTCAAGTCGTTAGGTCATATTTAAAAAAAAAAAATCTTTATTCATACTTCCAGCTTTCTTTATGAACAGGGCTGTGTGGGACCTGACTTCAGGGCACTCAGTGGCTGAGGTTTAGAGTGAATCATGGTGAGGACGCGGGATCACCATGGTGAACTCGTAAAGGATGGAAAGGGCTGGGATGGGAATGTGGTTAGTTTGAGGGATGACCTAAAAAGTGCCAGCCAATCAACCACAGCAGGCCATCAGTTCAACAGTGCCTCACTACCCATGACGTAGAAAGGTCAGTGTTAGGAAGCTTGGGTTAGTTCTGGCTCAGCTACACCTGGCAACAATCCTGAGCAAGTCCCTGAACCTCTCTGGGCTTGCGTTTCTTGGTAAGTCTAGGGCTTTGGACTAGATCTACACTGTCCCAAATAGTAGCCACCAGCCACGCGTGGCTATTGAACTCTTGAAAGGTGGCTAAAGCCATTGAGGAGGAACTGAATTTTTAATTTAATTGAATTTTAATGAATTTGAATTTAAATTAGGAAACTGAAGCAGTGTAAATATTTTTCATTTAAACATAAGTTGATAACCTTGCTAGGCTACATTACATTTCACTTTAACCATTGAAAATTTAGCATCCTTATTGAGATGTGTTGGAAATGTAAAATTTACTCCGTATTTCAAAGACAGGATGAAAAAGATGAAAATATCTCATTAGTAGTTTTTTTTTTGCATTGGTTACATGTTGAAATGATAATATTTTGGATATATTGGGTTAAATAAAATGGTTTTTTTTTTTTTTGAATATTGGCACCTGAGCTAGCATCTGTTGCCAATCTTCATTTTTTTTTTTCCTTTTTCTGTCTCCCAAAGCTCCCCAGTACATAGTTGTGTATCCCAGTTGTAGGTCCTTCTGGCTCTGCTGTGTGGGACCCCCCCTCAGCATGGCCTGACGAGTGGTGCCATGTCCACACCCAGGATCTGAAATGGTGAAACCCCGGGCTGCTGAAGCGGAGCCTGTGAACTTAACCACTCGGCCATGGGGCCAGCCCCTAAAATGTATTATTAAAATTAATTTCACCCATCTCCTTTTTAACTTCTTTAAATGTGGCTACTAGAAAAATTTGAATTACATACATGGCTGACATTGAAGTCTACCAGATAGTGATGGCTGGATGATCTCAATCACATCTTCCAACAATGAAGCCTGTTGTTCTAGGTAGCTATTGTGAAAGTTCTGCTTTGAGTGGCATGGAGCATGAATTTCAAAGTAGAGAATGTGAGTTATAAGCCCCACTTGCTAGCTGTGTGATTTTGGTCAAGTTACTTAACCTCACTGGGCCTCAGTTTCCTCATCTGAGGAACAGAGAGAAACACATCTACCTGACAGACCTGTCATAAGAGTTAAATGAAATAGTATACATAAGGTGCCAAGCACAGTGCCTGTAACCATGTTGAAATAATTCTCCCTAATCTTCTCATCTCTCTGATGATAATTTTGTGTGTGCGTGTGTGTGTGAGGAAGATTGGCCCTGAGCTAACATCTGTTGCCAATCTTCCTCTTTTTGCTTGAGGAAGATTGTGGCTGAGCTAACATCTGTGCCAGTCTTCCTCTATTTTGTATGTGGGACACCACCACAGCATGGCTCGATGAGCAGTGTGTAGGTCCACACTCAGGATCCGAACCTGTGAACACTGGGCCACCAAAAGGGAACCCACGAACTTAACCACCAGCCACTGGGCCAGGCCCCATGATTGTAATTTTTAATACCTGTGAGTGAGAACCAAAAGGGGAAACCAGGACCTGAGGGTTTTAGCATAAGCAGTGGTTCTTATAAAGAGCCAAGGCGAGAAGAGGTGTAGCGCTCATGAGACACGTGCGCTCTGTTAACAGGAATCAGCTATAGTCAGCTTTGATTTTTGTGATCCTGGTGCCCAGTTTCTGGCTGTGCACACTCATATCTCGCTCTCCTTTTTCTCTTTCCTTTTTGCCCTGACAGTCTTTCTATTTCCTTATATATCAGGCTTTTGAAGCTTCCTGCTTTGAGGATGTAGGAATGTTGAGAGACATAATTCAGACTGTTTGGGAAAGAAAACGTGTGCCTCTCCCTCCCTGGGGATCACTGTGGACCACGGAGGTTCCTAGGAGGCAGGTGAGAAAAAACGCTTCATGGCAGGTGCCGGTGTCGTCTTACTTTGTGTAGGTTCTTCTTGTCCTCCCCTCCACCCTAACTCCCGACAGAGGTCCCCAGACAGAATGATGAAAAATAAAAAAGGCAAGGGATCTACAGAACACTTCCTTTAGGAAATAGGGCAATCTGGAGTGTTAAATGTGACAGACTGATGGCATATTATAGGTTTATTTAATCAATATTTATTCATTGTAAGTTTTATTTAATCAATATCGATTATTCATAGTGATGAGGAGAATAAGTGTTGGGGTCAGCAAAACCTGGATTTGAATGTTAGTAGTGATACTTACTACTGTGTATTCTTGGGAAGTTACTTAACCTCTCTGAGCCTTAATTTCCTCATCTGATGGTTGCATCTAATACCGCCTACCTCAGAGGATGGTTGTAAGGATTGACTGAGGTGATGTACAGTGTCTGCGACATGGTGAGGGCTCAAGAAATGATAGTTACTATTATTTTGTTCTCGTACTATTTCTTTAGTTATTACTCAATTATTATAATTTAACAAAAACACAAAACTAGGTTTTTTGAGCACCTTTTCATCTCTTGCCTGATTTCCGTTCTGGTTATTTTATTTCTTTGTTATCTGTGTAATCTATTTACTTTGATGCTTAAAGCAAAGAATTAGAATATAAATCAAGAAAGAAAATATCCTCACTTGTGACCTATAACTCTAAATATGACCTTATCTCGGAGGGTACCATTTTCAGTTATGCTGCCCTGTGGGAGGTTGAGGTGGGATTCTTCTGTGTATCCCATGAGAGTTAACTACCGCAACTGAGGTCATTGATGGCCTCAGCCCCCTTGGCAAGAGTAGAGATGCTCAAACACCTCAGATGAACTCGGTACTAAAGTTTCCCCTTTAGAAAATGGAGAAATCACCGAAGGGATTGAAAAAACGCATTTAATCGCCTGTTGGATTTACTCCTCGACGCCAGCCAATCAACTGCAAATTCCTAGGAAGAAAAGGCAAGAGGAATAATCATCAGCCCTTGTGGACTCTGGAGTCACCTGCTCCATGGGCTGTGGAGCATCGAAGGTCAGCGCCACACTTCTTTACTGCCCAGGATCTGTGCTTTGGGGGCGGATCTGGAAGCCAAGCGATCCTCCTTTGATCTCGTATTAATTGCTTCCCAAAAGCGCTTCCTGATGCACAGGAATGCGGCATGCAGAAATGCCAGAGCAGCTGAGCCCCGGGCCTGCTGCTCCATGACCTGGGGGAAGCTGTGGATGTCAAGCAGGATGGATAGAGCCGTTTCATTACTTGATCAGGTTCCCACGACCCCTCACACATACCTTTCTTCCTGCACCTGTCAGGCATAACTATTCCTTTATAGCTCTCTCACCAGCAGGAACACCTCTGGCAGTGTTGCGGACTCCCAGGGGCACCATTCACATGGTAGGTGGTGTGCATGGTGCCTCCTGGAGGTGTGCAGTGCACAGCCTGAGCAGCCCCTCTGCGGCGGCTCTACCTGAGGGTAGGGTGGCATGGGTGGGTAGCAGATTGGCCTTGTACATCTTTTATCCTGCCATCTGGTACGCGCGTGGGAGGTGCTCACCAAATGTTTTTTGAATGAATGACACTGGCTTTACCATTTTATTTATTTATTTATTTTGAGTAAGATTAGCCCTGAGCTAACATCTGCCGCCAATCCTCCTCTTTTTGCTGAGAAAGACTGGCTCTGAGCTAACATCTGTGCCCATCTTCCTCTACTTTATATGTGGGATGCCTGCCACAGCGTGGCTTGATAAGTGGTTCATAGGTCTGTGCCTGAGATCTGAACTTGCGAACCCTAGACCACCGAAGCAGAGCACACTAACCACTAAACCAGTGGGCCAGCCCCCCATTTATTTTAATTTTTTTTTAAAGATTTTATTTTTCCTTTTTTTCCTCAAAGCCCCCTGGCACATAGTTGTGTATTTTTAGTTGTGGGTCCTTCTAGTTGTGGCATATGGGACGCCACCTCAGCATGGCTTGATGAGCAGTGCCATGTCTGCGCCCAGGATTCGAACTGGTGAAACCCTGGGCCGCGGAAACGGAGCGCCAGAACTTAACCACTTGGCGACAAGGCCGGCCCCCCATTTATTTTAGTTTGACCCATTTTCCTAATCTGTGGACCTTTTCATCTAGTTAATTATCCTATTATGATGAGGTTCCCCCCACCTTCCATCCAGGAAAGTGCTTCAGGTTTAAAGGGTTTATGTTATTGATGTTTCTTGTGCATCCAGCAAAACTTCTAGAAAAGTGCTTACACATGGGGGGAGCTGGGAGTCTGCCTGCTGCAGTGGCTGGGCCTGGAGGGCTGGTTTGGTCCATGCTCGACCCACTTTTGATGCTGAGAAACAACTCACTGACCTTCTGGACTCATTTTCAATGTCACAGACATGGCTCTGGAAAAGAAACCAAGTTTATATCTTCAGAATATAATAGCATTGAGTTTGGGTCACAGCTGCGGCAAAATCAACCAGAAGCAGATACACAGTATGTAAACAAAGGGGGGATGAATTCCATCCATTTTTCTAATTTGGAACATGGAGCTGAGGAGTGAGGCTGTGGGTGGATTATTTGTCTTGGATTCTTCTGATTTCTTGAATTCACATTTCACTGAGGAGAAATTTAGGCTAGAATGCTAATGGTACCAGGATGGGAAAGCCCCCTAGCTGTGCCCTCTCCTCTGAGTTTTCCCAGTTCAGGTGGAGAAACAGTGACTGAGCACTCCCCAGGGGTCGGGCTTGGGTGGCCTTTGGGGTTTTCGCTTCCTCCAGATTCTCTCCCCTCACTCTGCAAGGCTCGTGTTCTAGGGGAAAAGAAGCCACATCCTCTGTGTGATTTTGAAGAAACTGAGCTGCCTAGACCTAAGTTCACCTGATCTGCTTCTTGATTGTTGAAAAGGAACACAGAGGCAATTAGAAAATCCTTTTCTCCTGACAGAGCCTGGCTTTCAAAATCTAGTGTGCTGCCGCAGACCCCACATTCACATATTTGGATGTCAGAGACTGAATATTGTCTGTTTTTTCCTGACATTCCTGTTGTAAAAATCCTATCCCCCTTCTGTCTGCCTAGTGCCCCAGAGAGCTGTTTGTCTCTCCGCCTGACAAGAAGGAGGAAGACACATGTGGCGATGCAAAAGAGGAAAATCCATTCATATATTTTAAAAATGTTTCCTGTAATAACAGAATTCATGTCGAGGCAAGAGGCTCAACAAGTCCTTGGCTTCCCAGAGGACAGAAAACATTCCATGGAGAAGATGGAGAGAGATGCTGTACCAATTGTTAGGACATGAGAAGATGGTTTCCCCTCAAATTTCCCAGGCAACTTGTGCTGTCGTCTTCCACTTGACCCCTGACCCCACCCATGTCAGTTACCCCACCCAAAAGGGAAGCATAGCAGGGCACATATAGGTAAGCAAAATAAAGCTGCTATAATTCTCTTCCTGAGGAGCAATTGGAAATAAGCTGAACTTATTAATAAAGAGTTAGCAAGAGTTGACAGGCCGTGCTATAGAACACAATTTGGAAAAGGGTAAATAAATCTTTGCATTTGGTGCTTGGAATCCAGTCCAGGATTATGATTTCTGGGGTTTCCTTTGTAGCTTCTTTTTTTTTTTTTTAGCTTGGCAGGGAAATATAGCGTAGATATTTCAGCTTGGATGAACTAGATGGGGTAATCCATGATGTTGCTGATCATTTTTGCCCGTGTGGCTGCAAAGCCAGGCACCTAATTGTGTGCTCTGGAAAGAACTATGGTGTAACATGTTCTTAAACAGAGGGCTGTTTCCGTGCTGCCAAAATAATGGATGTCTGATAATTTAACTTTGCCAATACTTGGTAGATAGTTATTGGCTTCAATTTATGACTAATTGTTATAAAGAACAAATTTGATTTTATTGAATTTGATTAAATTTAATATTTTTGTAAAACTTCCTTTTATCTAAATGGCTTAGAAATTGACTCTTTTTCAGAGACAAATGAGGGAAGCTCAGCTCCATCTAGCTTCAGCAAAAAGTGAGTTTATTGACTCGTGTAATATACAAGGAAGTGCAGCCAGGAGTGGATTAGCTTCAGGCACAGCTGGATCTAGGAGTTCAAACATTATCATCCAGGCAACTTTCCTCTCTCTACCTTTTTGTTTCTCCTTGTCTGTTCTACAGGCAGATTCCTTGCAGGTGGTAGGCAAGATAGGTGACAATGGCCCTAGGCCCATATTCTCTAGCTTAGCAACCCTGAGTGAAAATAGGTTTCCCTTCCACTGTCCCAACATTACCCTCAGAGAAGACTCATTTGCTCTGCCTGAGCCATGTGTTCATCTCTGAACTAGTCCCTGTGACCAGGAGGATGGTACACATGAACTGGATAATGTGGGACGAGTGCTCATCCTTGTGATGGAAATGGCAGGTACGAACCCCAGAAAAAGTTCGTTTATGTCTAATTGGCTGTCATTCAGTCACATGCCCAGCCCGGAATCACACACCTGACCAAGGGAATGTGATGCTCTAATTGGCCACGCCTGAGTCACCTGTGTCACCTCTGGAGACGGAGACATAGGATGAGAACTGATAGTGAAGGAGGGGTGGTGTCATAAGGAAGGTGGGCCACTGGCAGCAGGGGTGGTAGAAGTTGGTTAGCTAAAATCAAAAATATTAAGAGATTTCAATAAATTTTACATTTATTGTTTAAACCTTCTGAGGTTGGATTTGTTTTCTTTTCTCTGTGACACTGTGAGAGCTAAGAAAACTTAAGTTTACCCTGGTTACAAATATCTATCTTTATAGAGTGTTTTTGATTTTACAAAGTTCTTCCACTGACCCTTATAACAACTCCGTGAAGTTTGTAACTATTCTCATTCTCCAGGTGAGGAAACCAAGGTACAGAGACATTAAATGACTAACCGCACACTGTGCAACTCTAACCAGAGGAGCCAGCACGGCCATAACCTAGGCTGTCTGACTCGAGTCCTTGCATCTCCCACTCTGCCCTGCGAGAGAGAAAGAAGGCTCGGTGGAAGCAGTTCCAGTGTGACCGGGAGCAGGCACAGATTGAAGAGATGGTTCAGAGGAGTTCCAACAGACTCCAGTGACTCACGGACAGGGGGTGGAGGTGGAGGGGGTGGTGAAGGACAGGAGATGACTCAGCCAACCAGCTTGGGTGACTGATGGGGTGGCTGCTGCTGCCATTAATTAAGATAAAGCTCACGGGCGGAGATGATTCCCAGCCTCTCAGGTACATCCCCCCTCCCACTTCAGTTCTTGAGCCTCTCCTGATGAGACCCCACGATAACCACCCCCTTTTCCTACGCCGTCTGCTATCCGGTGGGCTCCTTCTTCCAGCCCTGGGACCCAGTGTTATAGCTGGATCTAGCTTTTATGGTGGTCTGGTGGTCTAGGCTTTAGGTCTTCTCTCAGAGTTCCTCCAGGACTCAGGTTCCTTTGCTGCCAGCTTGGACCTGCGGCTTGGTGACCCTGGGACAGAGTCTTGGGGCTTGGGTGGGCTGAGTTGCAGCACACAGTAAGCCTCCTTTCCTGCCTCAGTTTCCCCTCCTTAGTCCTAACACTTCAGTGCTGCCTTGAGGACTGGTCCAACGGCTGAGCCCTGGTATTCTACTCAGCTCTGGCCATCCCCTTCTGTCTGGCTTTCTGGCATGTTGATTGGAACCATACCTCACTCGGATAAATATCCCCCCAGTGATGAGCTATCATCCTGACTCTTGAATATTGGCCACAGCTTGGATGCCCCGGAGTGTTGCTCTGCTTGACTATGTACATGACCAGGGCCCCTGGGCTTGCCTCTTCCAAGACTTTTAGAACCTGCTTCCTCCCCGACTTGAGTGTCTCTCCCATTGTCAGGTCTATTTTTGTTCCCCCTGCTGACCAAATTTTTCCCACCCTGGAGCCTTTGTACTGGCTGTACCTGCCTGCAGTGCTCTGCTCCCTGGCTCGGTTGGCTTTTCCTTGCCATTCAGGTTCCTGCTTAGATGCCATGTTCCTATTCAGTGTTGCCTGCCCTCTTACCATCTCTTTCTATATCATCACCCCATTCTCTTTCCTCATCACACTATTATATTTGGACTTAGTTTTTTTGAGTCCTTGTTTCTTGTCTGTTTTCTCGCTGGAATAAAAGCTCCTAGGAGGCGGGGACCTCCCCTATTATGCTGACTGCTATATTTGAAGGTCTAGAACAATGCCTGCTACAAAGTAGGTGCTCAATAGACTATTTATGGAACATTGCTGCATGATTCTTGATGGCTGAGACCACACCATGTCTAGTCTACACCAGAGGGAGAAGATGCAATGCATTTTGTGCAGGCTGACTTGGAGGGCTGTCCACTTGGAGCCGTCTGCTCCCTCTGCCAGAACTGTGTACCTAGTCTGTGAAGCAAACTGCTAGAGTCACCTCAGACTTATCCTCTCAAAAACTTTCCCTTGCCCTGACCCCCGGAGCAGTACTAGGCGTCCCTTCTTCTTTGCTCCAGAGCCCCTCTCTCCAAACTTGAATTACCCACCTGTCACATAGCACTGGATACTTGTTTGTTTACCTATCTTTCTCCCCAGATAGACTGTGAGCTTTTTGCCAGCAGGAATTCTGTAGGGTTTGTCTTTCTGGTGTCTAACACAGAGTTACAATTCAATTCCACAATTATTTGTGTGGGAATGTACAAGTTGGTGAGTGCATTAGCAAACTGGGTGTATGAATCTGTTGTGCAAGAGATAAGTCTGAGTTAGTGATGCAATAATAAAATTAACTGATTAATAGCCATTTATCCAAAAACCATGTCACTGAAGAAAGAAGCCTTTGAAACTTTGACCATTCATCTGCAAAAGAGCTCACGTCATCATTATTGTGGCAAGTAAAGTTCATCTGAGCCATCCTCCTATTCACATCCTCCTATTCACATGCTCCTATTCACAAGCTGAGGATAGATGTCTAAAGAGTTATGTGTCCTGACCCACTTGGGAGAACTCCAGAGTCATGCTTCTGACATTCTCAGCTCTTGAACAACGCTGTTTTCATCTAAACTGAGCTATAGTCACTGGCTCTTATGAGGTAAGCCTCATTAATCAGAAAATTGTCTGTCCTGGGGAGGGCGCCTACCTCATCCAGCCCACATGGAGATGTAGTGACGCACAACCTGAGAGTGGGCTCAGGCTCATTCTACTCACTTTCAATTCATTGCCCGTTTGATTTTGTGCATCCCTTGGCCCACTGTATTAGCACAGATTTGAGATCCAAAGAGATACTTCATTTGGTAATTTTATGTAATGCCATCCCTGAGATGAAGTTTTAATTGTGAAAGAAAATTAGTTGTTTATTCACCAACGATTTATAAGTTGTGGATTACATTGCAGGCATTGTGCTGAGAGTGGAGGACACAGATGAGTAAGATAGACTCCTGGCCTTTGAGGAGCTGATAGTCTAAAGGGCAATGCAAGACGAGAGGGCAGATGAGCACAGTCTGATTAGGTGAAGGCCATGGTAGGGCGAAGTCTTGGGGGATGAATACGAGCTGGTCCGACAAAGGATGGAGGGCAGGGAGGGAGTAGCAAGAACAAAAGACAGGAGAGCGTGGACAGGAGGGGCATAGACCAAACCAGAGCAGTCTCGGCTGGCCGTGTAAGGCACTTGGATTTTAACCTATAGACCAGCACTTTCCATAACGTGTTTGAAGGAAACTTGTTCTGTGTGATGATAATTGCTCTTGTACAGTAAAAGGATCTCATGGTTAACCACATTTGGGGAACATTGATTTCAAAGACAGTATTACTGTACTGTTCCATTGGCATCTTTTTATGGAGCACTGTGCCTCATCCTGTGATAGGCAGGGTGGATGCAGAGGAGAGCAAGACACACTGTCCTGTGCTCACGGGGCTGGCAGGCCAACGAGGAAAGTAGGAATTACACAAATGGCTGCCAATGATTTGTTACGTGTTTATAAGTGAGACAAGTCCCAGAAAGGAGACTGCGTTATAGAATGTAGGATAGAGTGGTTAATAAGAACAAGAGTTAACATTCATTTAGCCCATGTCATGAGCCTGACATTGGACTAAGGGCTTCACAATCATTATTATGTTTAAACAAAGCTGACTGGGGCACGATGCTAATTTGCTTGGTTTGACATAGCAATAGCGCGTTTCTCAAGCGGGTTTGACCACAGGAATGTTTTTTTCACATGACACCCATTCAGTTCTGTGGTAGTTTGGGTATGGGGAGCCACTGAAGGTTCTCAGCTGGGGAGAGAGACTGTCAAGTTTAATTTTCCAAATGGCAGAGAACATTTGCTTTGTGCTCCTGGTAACTCAAAAATGGCCAGAAACTTTAGAAAGAGTTTAGGGATCCTCAACCTTTGCCAGTGAATAAAAATTATCTTCACTTTTCAAAATACTGACCTATGAAATCTGTGTTTCCTGGAGAACAGTCTGTATTTTTAAAAAGTTCCTGGATACACAGGAAACCAGTAAGCCTGGTTGCCTCTGGGCAGGGAGAGGCCCTGGGTAGCTGGGCGACAGAAACGAGAGGAAGACTCCTTGTTGTGAAGTGGTGAACCATGGTTACATAATACCTTTTACAAAATAAATATGTAAATGAGCAAAAATCTCCATGGGTAATCCATATATAGCCCAGATTGAGAACCACTGCTAGGGTTAATCAGTGGATTCAAAACAAAATAATGTGAAACACATAATTAAAATTTTCTATTACATGTGAGATGTGCTAGGATGGATTTGATCATTAGGTTATTAACCTTAAAGAAAGCAACTTTCCCGTGATGGGGTAGAGGAATTGGACCATGAGGGGTTAAGGAGACAGAAAAGGGGGAGCAGAGGCCACAGACTGTAAGCTGTTCTCTGGCGGGCAGCAGCAGGGGGCGCTGCTAGCACGCTGACCCCTCTACCCACTGGCTGGCTTGCTGGGGCACTTGGGAACCTTCTTCAGTCCCCTGGATTCCTCCCTGTAACATAGGATTAATATTAGCTGCCTTACAGGGTGGTTGGGAAAATCAAATGAAACAGTAAATGAAGGTTTTATACTGGCACATGCACACCCAGCACTTAGCATAGCGCCTGGTGCAGAGTAAGTAGATAAGGAAGATCTGGACATTTTTGTAGGGAGAGCAGAAGCTTGAAGTTATAAAAGTGGAGATAGATCAACATCCTACAGAGGACAGAGGGAGAGGGGAGCAAAAGTGCAGGCTGAGAGTGTTTCTGGGAAAGGGGGAGAGTCCTCTTCCTCTGGGAAGGAAAGGACAGGCAGGTAAAGGGGGAGGAGGCAACGGAGACATTTCGGTGGGAGGAGGGCAGCTGACGGAGATGCGGAAGATATCTTTCTCTTCTCTGCAAAGAAGGAGGTTAGGTGGGAAATGCATAAAATGTTTCAAATACAGACAATATTTGCTGCATGAAAGCCATGTTTTTTGGTTAAAACAAATTGATGTCAGCCCTCATGTCTGGATAAAAATATAGGCAGTATCCCTACTGTGTCACTTCCCTGCTTCTTCTTTTTTAATGTGTTACTTCTGGCACAAGTACCTTCAGGGCCATTTATTCATTCACACCTTTTATTTTGAGCCAACTGTGTGGCAGGTCCTAGAAGACCAGGGAGGTCAACATTCTGAGGATGGTAAAGGGCGGTGGAGGTGGGGTGGGGAGGAAAAGCACAGCTCACCTCCTCTTATGTACGGAGTGTGAATTGAGAAACTCAGAGAAGGTTGGACGTTTTCAGTGCAGGAATTGTGTGGTTTTCTCTTGGCGCAGTGAATTGAAACTGACTTATTCCCCCAAATGAGCCAATTGAGATGGAACTATGAATCCACTTGAGTAGACAGGTCCCATTTGGTCCAAGAAAGGTGCTGGCCCACTGTATCAAAAAGACTGGAAAAGAATATGTTGAGTCAAACTTAAAAAGGAAATTCCTGCAACATAATTGTCCACTTTCTTAACAAGGAGAACAGTAGTGTTCTGTCTGTTTGGACTCAATGCCCCTTTCTGAGCAAATACTTTACTATCCTGAAATGAGATTCATAGATGATAGAACTTACCTACCCACATTTAAAAAATAGTATAATGGCCAAACTCTATTATATAGGAAAGATTAAAGTTAAGTTACCGCTACATATATAATTCTCCATGTGAATTCTTGAGCCTGGCTATATCGGTAGTACAATGAAGTTCACAAATGCTGACATCTCTATGGACAATCACTGTGGATGTGACAGCTGAAAACACGCGCCAATTTGAGTGTTTTATTATACTGGCAACTCAAATGCCATGTACAACTTTGCTGATAATAATGTGATTTTCTAAAATGTGAAGAACTTTTGATAAAGTTCCGAACAAAACAAGACGACATTTCTCTCAATTTACACAGTAGATGCATTTTTGGAAAGTTCAATGGATATTGAAAAACTGCAAAAGACACTCAAATACAGGTTATTTCCTGTTTATGTGTAAAATAGAGTTAGGTTTTTAGCTCAGATCATTATAAGGCTTCCATCTACGTGAATGTCCAGCGGGACATGGAAAGTTCCATGGCCCTCAAGGCAATCCTTTGTTGTGTGGGACTTTCTGCCGTATCTGGCTGTCCATGCCAATCATGGTGACAACGAAGAAACGTCCCATTGATTTCCAAAATGCCCACCAGGGGGTGGCACCGTCCCCTTTGAGAACCACTGTAGTGACATATGTGAGTGAAATTGAACTCTACATTAGGAGAAGTTCACTAAATGCTTGTTGAATAGAATGATTAAGAATCTTGCAGGTTCTCACAACCATCATTTTGAACTTTAATTCACACTGGGGAGAGGCTGTAGATAGAAATGGAAGATCTAGACAGAGACAGTCAAATGTTTTAATCTTTCAAGCCTACCTCAATTTGTTGGAAGTGGCTGTCCTTAATGCCATATACAGAATAATTTTCGAGGTAATGTCCAGCTGATTTAATCATTCAGGTACTAGTTACTGAGCATCTATGCGAGGCACTGTTCTAGGAGCTGGCAATCCAGTAATGAATAAAACAGATGCGGATTTGGGACCTCATGGAGCTAAAATTTTGAGCTCAGGAGGAGCTGACCTTAAAGGTGTCTGCCATGTCATTGGGAAACTGCTGACTACAAATTTGTCTTATCTGAAACGAGAGAGTTATCTGACTCTCTACTAACCCAGGAACTCTCCTGGAATTTTATTTGAAAAGTTGTTTCTGGTATCCGTTCATCTTCCTATCCTTTGTCTTTTTCTCCTCAGAAAGAGAAACAGCAAAAAACAAACCAAAACAAAATAACCAAACAACTTCTGATTAAATGAGAATTCTGATAATTTGAGTTTTTGTGAACAGAGTTATTCTATAATTTGTGAGGTTGCGTGAAAATTAGTGACCGGATATCACTGGCCAAGAAATGGAGACTTGGTCAAGTCAGGAACACAAAGTGATCTAAAAGGAATTAAGACATCCAGATGTATCAAAACCTGTGAACATCCTGTCTCTGTGAAGACTTGGCCACCAGTGTTCCTGGGCAAATCTTGAGAATAAGACACATATCCCAAGCCGCTGAGTGAGGGGGCAGACTATTATTGTCAGTAAGAGCATGGGTTTTGAATCTGATCTGCTTGGAGTCCTGGACCTGCCCCTTACTGCTGTGGTTTTGTGATTTACGGCAAGTTACTCAGTCGCTCTGGGCCTCCATGGCCTCCTCTGCAGAATGAGTGAAGTACCTACCTCCTCGGGGTATGTGACTGAGGGAAGCAATGTTCCCAAAGCACTGAGCACGCTGCCTGGTGCAGGGTCGCTCAGGGTGCCTAAGCTACTATTACTTGTCCAGGAGAAGCGCCATGACAGCGAGTGGCTGCGTTCTCTTCTTTCGAGGTGAGCACCACCACTCGGCAGCTGAGACGGGGAGTTCTTTCATTCTGTGACTCAGGAGAGGAGCTAACTTTTCCTTGCAAACAAACTTATGGTTTCATATGCTTTATTGGATCTTAAAGGTGGAAAGTACATTAAATCATCTGCTCCAGCCCCCGCATTGCACAGAGGAATAAGCTGAGTTCCAGGGATGTCATGTGATGTGGGACTAGAAACAGTGGTTAGGTTCCCAAGGCCAGGCCTCCAAGACCTAGTTAACCCATAAGGTGACCCGGGGTTTTCCACAGTATGTCTGTAGGACCACCTGTATTAGAATCATATGAGGGGCGGATTTCAAATAGGACCATAAGTCAAGGGCTGTTGAACTATCTAACAATTTCAGCTATCATTTCTATTAATTCCTGCTTCAATTATCCAATGAATTGTCTCTCTGCCGGGATACCCCAGTTCTGTAGCTCCTGTGAATTTCTATAACTCAGTGTAGCTCTCTGCTCTTGCAAAAGCCCTAGGAATGAATTAATACATGCAAAGCCTTAGAACAGTGCCCGTCTCACGGTAAGTGCTCGATAAATGTTAGTCATTCATTTTATTACTCATCAGAGCAGGAGGAACATCTGCAGAGAGGTGATGCTGGTTTCTCTGACGTGAACCTGGACCACAGGGTCAGTGTTTGCTTAGCAAAGATGGCTGGAGAGAGTCATCACACTGAAGGAAAAAGAAGCTAAGACTCTGTAAGTGTGTGGCACAGGTCATACTCCCTTGTTTGTTTTTTTTCTTGCAAAGAGAATGTAAGATCAGATATAGCTTTACTTTTGACAGTTTAAATTGTTGCTTGCATCAGCAAAGGCTACTCATACTGGGATGATGGTTCAGTTAGGGCTTTATTTATTCTCCTACATACAAATACACAGAGACATACAAAAAACGTAGGCTGTTGTATAGTTTTTAGATTGTTATAAGTGATTTGTGTGTCTCTAAATCTGAAAAGAGAGATATAGTTCTTATGAACATGGAGAATTTTAGCTACAAAAGAATTCTTAGCTGTAATAGGTGGTGAGTGATTGAGAGAATGTGAAAAAGAATGAGGAAGTAGTTTTTCCAATCTGGTGACAGGGAGAGACGGTTCTTTTTCCCTTGAGTAAAGCATCTGTTAAATGGAAAAGAAAATGAATGTGGACTCTGGAGCCAGGAATCCATGATGCCAGCATTTTGCAATAACATCTCCTTTCATCTACAGATCTCGCAACAGTTTATGGGCACTAATTAAGTTTCACCATACTCATACAACTCACACTGAGTTTTATTTCCTCCCTTTTTACTGAGGAAAACCAGGGCAAGGAATGTTTAAAAGGTTACAAGAAGTTACAAAGCTCAGATTTGAATTCAGTACCCAAAGCCTCTGGCCCATGGTGGGCTTGACAGTTGACGCATGGCTGATGTTTTGTGGGGCAGGAAGTGGTCTTCAGCAACCCTGAGAGGAAGGAGTAAGCTAGGAGCTCAGGGAGGCTCTAGGGGACCAGAGATCCTGCTGCACAGTGAAGACACGTGAACCTGGCATCTCTCACCACCACACTCCTTCTCTCTCAGCCTGCTGTGTTCCTGAATGGACACATTGGGATTGCAATTCACATCAACCCTCTAGGTTCCTGAGAGGCAGGCTGTGAGCTGTGAGTGGGGTATGTGGGTGTAGGGGACTTATTGTAGGGGCCAGAGGAGAGTCGTCTGGTATTGGTGGGCAGAGAGGCCAGTCAGTTACCAAGTGAAGGGGCACCAGGAGGAAAATCAAAGGGCAACAGGTTATGTCACTCCTTCTCCCTTGTCATCTTGGCCCCATTTAAAAAGGAGGAAGAAACAAAGCACAGGCTGGGTCTGAGATCAATCTCAGATGGCCAATGGTGACAGCTACACCTAAGACATAACCGGTCCCAGGCTTGTCCAGGACCCAAAATAAATCTGTCTAAGTTTATCAGAACTCTTGAATTCAGACTAAAAGGAATCTGAAATAACTCACTTTCTCTTTTCATACCCTCTTAAGATGAATTCTTAAAGATTGTGCATGAGCATTTTCACTTAAATGGAACTAGAATTAGAAGAGGGGAATGAAGGAAGCCCCAGTGGAGGCAGGTGCAAATCCTGGGTGCCAAGCAGGGATTTCACAGGCTCAAAAATTCCCATATTTCTGAGATTGAATCAAAGGCATAAAAATAGCAAATTATTCACTTCTTCAAAGAGAGTTACATCCCAAGTTGCAGGGGAATTTATTAGCACATCTAAATCTGAAAAAAAAAATTATTATATATTTATGAGGCTAAGTTATAAATAGAAGGCAGGAGAAAAAAAATTCTGGTTGCTAACAGTTTTTATTCCAAATTGCATCAGTTCATAAAAACCGAATCATTTACAAAGGATCTAATCCATAACTCTAATAGAAAAATAGTACAAATCAAAAGTATATAAGTATATATTTTTTATTAAACAATATTAAAATAGCTGCAAGTAACCATTAATGTAGTTATATATTCATGGATGTTTATAGATGACATTATGCTTACATTCTTGCTCACACCAACGTTTTGGAAAATGTTAATACCTTTGTTAAAAAACAAACAGCAAAAGTGGTCCATCTGACATCCTGTCATTCACATTTCAGTAAACTGTGATATACTGGTAATTGATGTTTGTGATTTGGGGGTTTAGAAAGATCCCCAAATGTCTTCTAGGTTATGAAAGAGAGATAAAATGATATTTGATAGTTTTAAAAAAATTTTTTGATATAGTTTTAATGGTGAGTTATTTTGTGGCGTTTGAAAACTAAATCTCTCAACTGGAACGTGCAATTAACCAGAAAAACCCATTCTCTAAGCTTGCACTCTGACAATTTGTGAAAAAGGAAATGTGGCCAGTGCAAAACATTTCCTCTTTTTCTAAACCTCGAACTGAGGACGTCCCTTACCAATTACGCAGGGTCTCTTGGGCCTTAGAACTTTCCACCAGGGTTTAGGTCTCTATGGCGATACACCAGGTTGCTGAAGCGGAACACAGGTGATGGGGTGGCAGCAGGTATTGGGCGAGCATGGGGAGAAGTTCTGGCTGCAGAAAACCAAGCAGGGTCTTCTTGAGCATCTAGGACCAACTGCTCCGCCTTGCCAGGGATCTGCAGAGCCACCAGCCCGGCCTGCCCCAACTTTTCACCTCTCCAGGAAAGCGGGCGCTGCATGCCACCAGGTGGCAGCTCTGCAGGCGCAGGTGCTTTTGATGGCTGCCTGTACCGGGGACTGGTGGCTTCCTCTGGGAGGCCACTTCCGTTGATGCTTGAGCTTCACTCTTCTCAAGCCCTCAGAGGCCATGACAGGTGAAAAGAGTCCATTTTGTCCAGCCCCGTGGTCTCATGCAGCCATTCAGCATCCCCGTTCAAATTACACTCCAGGATGGCCGGCACCGCCAGGGGAGGTAAGTCACCACCAGAATCTCGCAGCCTGTCATGGGCATCTCGCTGAACAGGTGGCTAGAAGAAGAGTGGCCATAACGCATTTGGGGTTGAGTCTGGTCTTCATCCTCTGAGGGTGCCCACCTGGCATGCCTCCTAGGGACCCCTGGAAGCTTTCCCAGCAACGCTGACATCAGATCAGGGGGTTGCATCCTTTTCTATTGGCTTCCTCCTCCAGGTTGCAAGTTCTTGGAGGCAAGGGACCTTTTTAAACTCACCTCTGGTTTCCCAGCACTATAACATGGCCCAACATACAGCTGGTGCTCAATAAGCATCTCTTGGGTGAATGAAGGAATGAGGAAATTACCACCAGCATTTGGTCCCACTGGTGAAGCCTGCCTGGGCCTTGGAGTCACAGGCGTGGGTTCAAATCCCAGCTCCACCACTTAACTAGCTGTAGGACTGTGGGCGAGTTACTTAACCTTTCTCTGCCTCATCCCTTTGTTGGTGAAATGGGGATTGTAATAGTCTCTGCATGCCTTAGCATACTCACTGTGTACTACTCTCTATACTAGTCCATTATACTCTACACATTTTAGCTATTGTTGCTAACCACCCACCTCTACTCCTTAAGAGGGGAAGTGAGATAGTTAGGCTATCTTGAGGACAGCTTTTCTCCCCAGGGGAATGCAAAGCAGAGGGGCTGAGAACCTTAAGTGAAGTGCACTCCTGCCTAATCCCCCTTCACCCGCCATTTGAGCAGTGGAGCAATCAGAAGTGGGTGCTGAAACTGAGAGAAGAGCAACGCCTGAGGGTGTTTGAGCAATGGGATATTAAAAGCTCCCAGCTTACTCCTAGAACCGGGACATTTCACAGCCAGGTTCCACAGTCGGTCTGGAAACCTTGGTGATTGGTAGTGGCTCAGGTGGACTTGGGAGCTGAGAAAGCGGAAACAGTAAAGATCGCAGCGGTCATCACATCACCCACTTCCATCCTCCTTTAACTACAATCATGGGTGTTCAAGAGAAAGAATGGAGAGTGAGAGAGAGGGGTTTGGACAGAGGTCGGGGTTGGAGGAGGAAGGAACAGACAGACTAAAGAGGAAAGAGAGGCAAAAACACTTCTCTCCTGGAAATGAACTAATGCTTTTGTGAAAAGACAATTAAAGTGAATCACTGTATGGCAGAAGATCAAATGACGAACATGCTGGGGAACGAGTTTCATTGCCCCGTTCAAAACATAATTAGCTGGATGTAAAGAGACCGTCGTGTTCTCCCCAAAGCAACACAGTATCCCATTTTCAGTTCTGAAATGCACAATTGGATTTTTGCTCTTTCCTCTTGCCGAACTCGATGAACCAGGTTGACTTTACTCAACCTCATTTGCTGTTTCAAAAGAAGTTGTTAAATAATTTTGTAATTAAAAAATAGAAGGGTAAAAATAATTACCCAAATCTCCTCCGCAACACAAACAAATTACAGGGAAATATTAATTTAACATCCCAATGCTTAGAAGTTACATACACGTGAAATGAGTGTCAGATGAATTATCAAGCTTTGATGAGCAGCAGAATCTTTCTAAGGAACACTTCTTGCACAAGGTACAGTGTTGGAGGGAGAGGCTGCTGGCTTCTGCAGGAACACACTCAGAGGAGCGTGTTCAGGCTCTTTGAAACTGAGCTTGCCTCAGGCTAAGCCAGAAGGCGCCTGTAGCGATGCGTGGTAGTCAGAGCTGGTGGGAAAGTCAGTTGTGTCTGCAGGGGAGCAAAAGGAGGGGGTGGGTATTGCCTGACTATGAATAAAACATCTCCAGGTAAGACATTAGTTGGAAGTAGAGATTTATTGCTGGCAAAAAAGAATAAAAATGCTGTTCACCCATCTCACTGGCTAGAGAGCAAAATTAGATCATTCTTAAGTGCTTTGAGGTTCTTGGATGAAAGGTGCTCTTAAATACAGTACCACAAAGTTAATTACAGGGATGTTTATGGTCTCAGAAAACTGGAAGCAACTTAATATTCAACAATAAGGAAACGGTTAAAGAAATTATGGCACATCCAATTTCTGGAATATTATGTAGCCAATAGAAGGGTTACAAAGAATTGTTAATGACATGGGAAAGTGCTTATTAAGTTAAGTGAAAGAGACAAGACTAAAAAAAAACTATATCCGGTGTGATCTCATTCTATTTAAAAGAATATAGAGGAGGGGACTAACCCAGTAAGTGAACCGTAATTATCTGTAAGTAGTAGAATTGTGGGTGATTTTTGTTCTCGTCTCTCAACTGTTAACATATTTTCCAAGTTTCATAAAATGAGCAAACAAAAAGTATATTACTTTCACAAATTCTGTGACATTTTTTGAGGCTTTCTTGGTGGCTCAGTTTGTGGGTAGGTCTCACAAATCTTCCATATATATTTGAGAAGAATATATATTTTTCAGGGGATGGTATTCTATATTTTAATTTTAGATAAAGCTTGTCAATTGGTTTGCTCAAATTTATTTCCTTACTGATTCGTTTGGTTGAGCTATCAATTATGGAGGGAGTGTGTAAAAACATTTCATAATCTGATAGTGAATTTTGTCTGTTTCTCCCTATAGGGCAATGCTGTTAGGTACATACAAATTAGTACTGTTAGATCACACAGTTGAATTGAACCTTTGATCAATGTTATTACCTTCTTTACTTCTAATAAAGCTTTTTAACCTTAAGGTTCACATCAGCTTGCTTTTCGTTAGACTTTGCCTGACAAATTTCAGCCTTTCTATATCTGTGTGTTTAGATGTATCTTTTGTAAAAACATATATGTTTAAATCTAGTCTGACAATCTTTATCTTATAACTGGATCATTTAATCCATTTAGATTTATTGTAATTACTGATGTACTTGGGTTTATTCTGTTATGTTTTTGTGCTTTCTGTTTATCCTGTCTTTTCTGAGTTTTTTCCCTCTTCTTTCTTGCTTGACTTTTTTTTCCTTGCATTCTGTCTCCCTCTACTAGTTTGGAAGTTATATCACCTATTTGTACTCTTTTAGTGGATACTCCAGAAATTTGAGCATGCAGACCTGAACTTATCAAAGAGAAATCAGTGTCTTTATTTTCCCCTTGAAAAATATCAGGCATTTAGAACACGTTAACACTGTCACCCTCTTTAAGTTATGTGCTCTTGTCATGTATTTATCTTTTCTTTTAAACCTATAATAATAATTTTAATTATTTAAAAATTAAAATTAATTTATATTTAAATATTCAATTATTTAAATTTAATTATTATTATTATTTTATAAGGTAGATATCTTTACTTACCTATTTACCCCTGTAATTGCTCTTCATTTCCGGTTAAATCTCAGCTCTTTCATCTGGATTGTTTTGCCTCTGCCTGACGCAAATACTTGACCTTTTCCTTTACTGAGGGTCTGTTGATGGCAAACTCAGTTTTGTGTGTGTCTGAAGTGTCTTTATTTCATCCTTATTCTTGAGAGATTTTTGCAAGGTATAGAGTTCTGTGATTACTTTCTCTCAGCTTATTGACACTATTCCTGTCTTCTGGCTTCGATTCTTCTTATAAAGAAGTAAGCTCTCAGCCTAACTGTCATTCCTTTGAAATTAATCTATCTTTTTCTTTTGCTGCTTTTAAGATTTTCTCTTGTCTTGCTGTCTGTGCAGTATCTCTGTGGTGTGTCTAGGTGTGGGTTTCTTTTTATTTTATCCCACTGGGCTTCTGGAATCTGCAGACTGGGTCCTCCTCAATTCTGAAATTTTATCATCTTTTAAAAATACTATTGCTTCTGACTTATTTCTCTCTCTTTTACTGGAACTATGAAGAGACTTCATGTTAGACCTTTTCAATTTATCTTCCGTGTTTCTTAACCTCTCTTCAGTATTTTCCATTAAAGAAATCTCTCTGTATTACACTCTGATGATTCTCCAGGTCCAGCTCTCTGTTTCCTAATGATCTTTTCAGATGTAGCTAATCTACTGTTAAATCTGTCCATTGAGTTTTTATCTCAATTATTTTATTTTTAATTTCTAGAAATTCTATTTGATTCTTTTTAATATCGGCTTGGTCATATTTTAGAGTCTTTTGCTCTTTCTGATATTTCCAATCCTTTCTTTATGTCTTCAAACATATTATAGATACATTTTTATATACTGTCCAATATCTGAAATTTTTTGTGGCTCTGATTCTGTTGTCTATTTTTTCTCACTCAAAGGCCGTTATTGTGTATTTCATGACTTTTGAGTAAGACACACACTGCTTGAAACTTTATAGGGTTCCTTTGAGGCCGAGGTTGCAAGGGAGCGCCTCCAGAGAAGATACGCATCTGCTTCTGCCAGCTGCGCAAGAGCACCACGTACCTGAGACAACAGTAAATGGATTCTTAGGTTAAGGTTTTTGGATTTTCCAGGTCATGTGAATTCAGGCTAAAACTCTCTTGAGGATCACCTTAAGGGTACAAAATCTCAGGGGAGATTGTAATTTTCCTCCTCTCCTCAGTGTTGAGGTTTGGGGAAGGCATTTTCCTTGTGGTCTCCTGTGGAGCTGTGTGTGGGAGGTGCTTATTTCTAGCTCATCCTTCTGCTGAGTGTGAGGTCCTCTGTGGTCCCGGTTCTAGCTGAGTGATATAGTAAATCCCATACCGTGGATAGGTCCTGGGCACTGTCTCCTGTTCCTGTGCCCTCCCCTCTAGACGTGCTCAAGGTCACCAAGTTCTGCAAATGCCCTCCAAGTAAAGTTTGCGTCAGTCCACTGTCCCCTCTGGGTTTCTACTTTCACAGACTCTTTGTCCTTTGAGCATTTCCAACTTTTTCCTAAGCTTTGACCGGAACTTTTAATTATCTGCAGTTAGAGTGGGTGTCCAGTCCACCGTGTGGTTGAGACAGAAGCCTATTCCTTTCACAATAATAAAAATATACCTGTGTATTCATTTTTAGCGATTATTTTATCTTATCCTTCCCCCCAAACGTGAAATAGCTTCTTCAGAAGGGATCTTTGAGGTTTTCAACTTTTCACAAAGCCCTGGAACAAAGTGGACAGAAATATTGGAAAGAGGGCCAGCCGGGTGGCGCAGCGGTTAAGATCACACGTTCCGCTTCTCAGCGGCCCGGGGTTCACCGGTGCGGATCCCGAGTGCGGACATGGCACCACTTGGCACACCATGCTGTGGTAGGCGTCCCACATATAAAGTAGAGGAAGATGGGCACGGATGTTAGCTCATGGCCAGGCTTCCTCAGCAAAAGGCGGAGGACGGGCAGTAGTTAGCTCAGGGCTAATCGTCCTCAAAAAAAACAAAAAAATTAGAAAGAGAAAATGTAGTCTAGTAGACTACCAGGTCTGTCTTAATCCTAAATTAGATCAGAATCCAGTTATGCTAGTTTTGTATATCATAGAGTTATAATTGGGTATGTTAAATCGATACATTGGAAATGCCAGAGATGCCTCCTAATCAGCCTCTGCAGGCATGGCCTCCCTGGATACCTCATGATAAAACTCCAGGACACCTGACGGTATGAAGCGGCTGAAGTTCAGTTTCAGAACACGAGGGAAACTACAGGTATAGACTCTTGGAAACCTACACAATATCCAGACCTTACTTTAGGGCTAAAATTCTGTTCTTGATTAATCTATCATATTTGTTGAGAAATTACAAAACGTACTGGTTCAAATTTCATTAATTTTTTTTTCCCTGGCATTCTCTGAGGGTGGGATGATAGAGGGTGAGTAAAATACCAAAGGAGACTAAAAATTGCCAAACCGGGTCCTCAATTCCCCAAGTATTATTAGCCAAGGAGTGCTGCCATCTTCTGAGGTCAGTGCCTCCCAGTGCGGACTCCTGGAACATCCTGGATTGCCTGACATTCCCCTCACTCTCTTTGGAGTCCGAAGAGATTGCCAGGGAGCCAGGGAGAGGAAGGGGGAAGGATGTGGGATAAAGTATAAAACATGCTTTTGGAAGAAAACAGCTAGTAATTCCCTTGACAGGATTTTTGCTCGGCTTCAAAATTTAGTAAGCTTTTCACACAGCTTGATGGACCCTGAGTTTCTACCATTACAACTACATTTGTTTGGCTTAAGATTTTCTTAAGCCTCTTAAAATAGAAATCCCTCTGGGACTACTAATGCCTACTAAGCAGGGAAGAGCCAATCAGTGACATTGACCATAGGAAGCGGTGGGACTGTGGCAAGTTGGAGAAGACAGCCCTGTCCACAGAGGCAGCCTCTCCTTGGCTTGGCCAGCTGTTCGTACACAGGAATGTGGGCCTTGTGACTTTTTCAGAAGTCAGCAATCAGCATTTTAATGAGAAACTTCATGATTTTTAAAGTGTTAGCAACTAATCCCACATTTTTAAAAAACTACAGAGAAGGCCAAACAAAACATATCTGTGGGCTGGATACTGTCCATGGGTCACCAGTTAGCAACCTTTGTGTTGGACTTTGCTGTGCACTGGACACCCCATTGTGAAAGAATTTATCACCTCCTTTGCTGGAGCAGAGCAGAGAGAGGGAGAAGAAACGGAGGGCCGTTCTTGCAGAGCTGTGAGTGGACAGAGGGGAGGAGAAGTGGGGTGCGGGAAGGGGAGAGGGCAGGGCAGCCTTCTTTATTCTGAGTGGACTGGGCCATGGGCCAGAAAGCCCCATGGTAGACATGCTGCCTTCCAACAGCTGGATGTGAAAGAACACGTGAAACCTACTATTTCAGGATGCTGTTAATTCCATATGTGAACTTTTTGAGTCATTCTTTCTATATGGAGTTCATTAAAAAAATGTAGAAAATATTTTCAGGAGGAATGTGCAGTATCTCTGACAGATAAGTGAGTTCATAACACGTATTCATATAAAACAAATGAAAACTACTTATAGGTAATTCTTTTCTAGTCATTGATTAATGACTTCCATTGGGCAACATTCCTTAATATTGTTGGTTACTTTTTAGAAAAAATGTTATAATACATTGTTTTAGCTTGTTTAGAGGGACTTGTCACCAAGCCCTGAACGTGGGATCTCATTGTGTTGCATTGAACCTGCCCCAAACCCTCAGGTTTATAGGATCAGGCCTCCACCCCACATGGGTTCGTAAATGTCCCCACTTGCTTATGAGCTTATTGAAATATCTCCCTCCCATTTCCCCCAAAGGACAGCCTCTTCTGCCTCAGAGAGGAAGAGAAAGATACACAATGATGGAGACCCACCAGATGTGCAAAGAAGCTGCCGTCCAGTGCAGGAGAGGACCGAGCCATGCTGCTGGGGTTTACAATGATGGGCTTCTCAGTCCTCATGTTCTTCTTGCTTGGGATAACCATCCTAAAGCCTTTCATGCTCAGGTAAGAAACAGAGAAAGGAGACTCAGAATTTCCAGTGCAGATCAGACACAGGCACAGTCGGAGAGGGGGAGGCTGGCTTTGGTTTCTCCGGCCTTCCTTACCATTATCCAGGACACGCACGATAGACTCGCCTGTTCCTCTCTCAGTGCTGGGAGGCAGCTGGGTGGGCAGGAGGAGGTGGGAAGAAAGTGGAAGATGGTCCCTTGCTGCTCCTCCCCTCCAATCTCAAAAATACTTCCAACAACTAATCCACAAATTCAATATTCATGTAGGTAATAAATTCTTCCTTTAACAGCAGATATTCCAGAGAAGGGTTAATTTAAACCTTCTATAGGGGCATAATAAAAGTTTTTTTTGCTGAGTAGGATTCGCCTTGAGCTAACATCTGCTGCCAGTCTTCCTCTTTTTGTATGCAAGCCTCTGCCACAGCATGGCTGCTAACAGACGAGTGGTGTAGGTCCTGCCTGGGAACTGAACCCGGGCTGCCAAAGTAGAGTGCATCAAACTTAACCACTAGGCCACCAAGGCTGGCCCAGTAAAAGTTTCTTAAGTCTGAGTTTTTTGAGCTTGACAACACCTACCTGGCACATAGTAGTTGCTCAATAAGTATTAGTTTCCTTCCTTTTCTTTTAATTAGTTTCCTTATTAAAGACATGTAAAAACAGTTAACATTTATTAAATATATAGTATATTGCAAATATATACTATATTTTATCATATTTAAACCTACAGCAAACCCATGATGGAAGCATTATTTTATTATTCTAATTTTCATTTTATAAATGAGAAAGCTCAGAGAGGCCAAGTAACTTGTCCAAGGTCACATAGCCAGTAAAGAGTCTGCCTGTTATTCTGACATAAGACTCTTTGCCTCCTAATACTTTGGTGAAGTTTGCTGCAATGAGGAGGCTGGGTTTTGGTTAGGGTGAGGAGGAGCTGCTTAATTGGGAGGACGGCTCACACAACGTGGGGTAGTTTGGGGGAGGGCAGGACCGGGTAGGGGGAAAGCCAAAGAGCACCAGGAGGCCCAGGGGGAATGGGAAGAGGGAGGCCTAGGAGTTCAGGGAATAAAAGGGGTCATAGAAAAGGAAGTGGGTGCTCTGCTTTTGTTATTTATCAGATTCATCTCCCACGATTCCTGGGTTACCATTGTAAGGGCAATAATGGGGGGGGGGGGGGGGTCATCATCCACTACAGCACATAGTGCCACTAATTAGAAGGCTCCCAGGGGAATTTTCTCTTGGGTACTAGTACCAGGAGAATCTGTTCTGCTCCTGATCAGCCAGCTTACTTTTATTCAATGGACACCAAGACTCTTGTATCTGGTTGTGTTTCCTTCATTGCTTTGGCTGCTAGGAAGCTCAGAGCCAAATTTGTGGCCCAGTTCGCATAACTATAAGGGATCTTATGGTCTACAGGTTACATGTTTGTATCTCATTCTTGACTTTATTCTAGCTTTCTATCTTCCTTTTTCTGTTACTCCATTTTCATATATATCTATATATCTATATCTACATCTGCATTACACTTATCTACATAAGTTGAATAAATATGTGACTCTGTGTGTGCGTTTGTGTGCAGGTCAGTTTAGTTTTAAAAACTGTGGTATATGTGGGATATTCTTTGAGGATACCTTCTGCAAGCTGGCACCAAACTTGTTCATATTTAAAATTTACTTTTCTAGGCATTTCTGGGAATTATTTGCTTAAAGTAATTGAATGCTTAGACGTGGTGAGTTCTCATCTCTCTCTTGCCTTGCGATCTTGTGCCATCAGAGAGTAGTTTTGCTCCACGGAAGATGACAGTGAAGAGGCTTGGGTAGTGCGTACCTATCTCCACTCCCGTAAACCCCCATCTCACGATCAAATGGTGCATTTTGTCTATTCATAGACAAATTGACACACAGTGGTATTGAAAGAACATGCTCATTTTTTCAGCCCTAAATACGTCCCTGGTTCCACCTGAAAGGCTCTGGCCTGGCCCTTGTGCATAGGAGAGAATGCCCCACCCTCTACTTGGGAGCTTTTGGAAATCTTCAAGGTTCAAGTCATACTCATTGTGGCACTTGGTTAGGATTTAGAGAGCTTACGTTCTAACTGAGATAAGCAGACAGCTCTAAATATTTTAAGATGCCTAGTCTAAATAAGTATAGAAATTAATTTTGTAAAAAAGCAGGCCAATGCTAAACCTGTGAAAAACCTTATTTTCCACTTTTTTTTTTTGGCTGAGGAAAATTGGTCCTGAGCTAACGTCTGTTGCCCGTCTTCGTCTATTTTGTATGTGGGCTGCCTCCACAGCATGGCTTGATGAGCGACGTTTAGGTCTGTACCCAGGATCTGAACCTGTGAACTCCAAAGTGGAGCATGCTGAACTCAACCACTACTCCACGGGGCTGGCCTTCCCACTTTTGTATTTTTACTTGCCCAACATTTATTCTTCTAAGGCCATATCCAGTGATTTTTTTTATATCCTGGGACTTGAGATCATCATAAACTCAACTGCGTGTCTCAGGTTTGTTACATTAATAAAGAAAAATGATTACTTATGGTCAAAGATCTTAATGAGAGTGCAGTATGATGCCTTCAAACATTCTAACTTTAGAATTTGCTAATCTAACTTGTGTTTAGGGCACCAGGGAATAAACACAGGGACCCACCTAGATGTACGTGTGAGGGTACATGAGGAGCTGGGCCTGCATATTCAGTCAGAGCGTTTCCTCTCACCCTCATTGACTACGTCGGACTTGTCCTCCAATTACTTTATACGTGTACGTCCTTTATCTACATCACCACGAAGTCTTCAGGGGCAGGAAGTTTGTCCACCACTTCTCATTGCATCTTTGACTTTCTGTGTATGTGGTACATGTGCAAGTTCTCCAGGAACGTTTTCCAAGTAAAATTGAATTCAGTACAACACTTCTGGAGCCTCTACTATGCGAGGGGCCTTGTGCTTTATGCTTTGAGGAACATAAAGATGAACTGGATGTAGCTCTTGACCTCGAGGAACTTACTAATAGCAAAACACGGTAAGTTTTCTAATGAGACTGTCCTTGTATGGTTTGCATTTGCCTCTTTAAAGGGAAGTAGAGTGGGTGAATGGAATTGCACCTTGTTACCAGAGCTTTGGGAGGCTATGTTGACGAAGAGCGCTGTGGAAGGGTGGACTCCTTGCAAAGGACATCAGGACAAGCCAATGGTGCATCTTGAGATGATGATGCATGAGAGATGTAAGATTTCTGAGTGTGTGTGAATCTTGGTGGTTATAGTATTTAGGGTAATATTGCTCAAAGTATGGTTCTCCAAATACCTGCATCTTAAATACTATTAAATGTAGATTCCTGGGCCTCAGTTCAGATCAACCGAACCCGAATCTCTGGGCGTGAAGGTATAGAATAACGCATTTTAATAAATTCTTTATTCTAACACACTCAGGTGATTCTCAAGTTTGAAAACCATTGTTCTAAGGCTGGTGTAGTTCAGAAATATGTCAGGAGGGTCATAATTGAGCTGGAACTTCATGGTTTGCTGCTGTTCCTCCCCTTTCAATGTCCTCCATGCTCCCTAATCGTTCTGTGCCTTCTGTAACGGTCCTACATTACCTTGAAAAGACAAATGCCCCAGGTTACCACACTAGAGCTATAGAACTAAATTTTCTACAGGGTGAAAATAATTTTTTTTTCAAATTGAAGCACTCAGAGAGAAGAATCAAACTGCACCATCATCCACACGCATATCACAGATGACTGGATGGACTGTGGATTCCCCTGCGGTGTGGACCGCCGAGGCCAGGGCAAGTACCCGTGTCTCCAGGTATTGGTGAACCTCACCCATTCAGGACAGAAAGCTCTCCTACGTTATAACAAAGAGGCTGTCCAGATAAATTCCAAGGTAATGTAAAGTTCATGCAATTAAAGAGTTCTAATTACAGCAACCCTTCCTTGCCAGTCTGTCCCTAGCAGGGGGCAGGACTCAGGGCCATCTCTAGGGATAAATGTTTCCTTCCTGTGAATGATTTGACAGAGGTCAAATCAGGATAAATGAAGCTAAAAGCATTCTTGGAGGAAAAGTGGGGTACACAGAAAAGAGAGGAATTATCCCAATTTCACAGTTGGGTGTCTGGACTTTCTAGCCTGAGCCAATGAAACAGTATTTGTGGGCAGTCTTGCTTTTGAGGGTCCCACCCCCCCATCCTATCAAAAATGTTAAAATGTACTCGCAGTCCACCTTAAATCAAGCAAGTAATTTTCCTTATCAAAGAAATTTAAAGAATTATAATTTTGATTTTTTGTAAGTTACTCAACTGGTTCATATGATTTAAAGTGTACATTTACATCTAACTATAAAAGTTGAGCTGTATTACATTAGTTGACACGTTACATTTTGTTATCTTTACTTAAACACTAATTTCAATCTGATGACTTCTGTTTTCTCCTTTGGGTGGAATAATTTTTAAGGCCTTCAGCATTTTTGGAGGTGCTTTTACAATGCGTTGAGTGTCTAGTGGATATGATAATAAACTGCAAGCTTTTTTGAGAAAGTCACCAACTGCTAGAGCTCCCTCCTTTTCACTGTTTCTGCCTCCCAGGAACCAGAGCCCAGGTAGGGCCCCCTCTCTGTGGGCCTAGGGCAAAAGCCTCAATATGCCATCCTTTAGGGTAAGATCTTACTACAGGAAGTCACGACAGAGACAATGGAGGCATTAATAGGTATTGAAAGCACGTAGAGAACTCAATAAATATTCGTTGAATGGACAGATGGATTCATTGATTTACTGTCCAGAAAGAGACTGAGGACCTGCGTGTGGGGAAGAGCATGGTCTTTATGAAGCTGGTCCCTGCCTCTTCTGTATTTATTCTAAAAATTCCTCCCCACATCCTTGCTTAGTGCCTGGAAATGGCCATCTCACTCTGTGCCCTCCTACCATCCTTTCCCCTTAAGCTATGTCATAGGTTTCATCACCTTCTGAAACGGAAACCCCTAATAGCTTGAAGCTGTATTTCAGAAATAAAACTGTTGTTTAAGTGATCCCTGTTGGGAACAGTGCCCTCACCTTTCTTCCTCCTCCGTATTCCTAGTGCTTTCATACACCTAAGTGCCACCGGGAGAGGAATGATTTGCTCAGCAGGGCTCTGGACATAAAGGAATTCTTCGATCACAAAAATGGGACCCCCTTTTCGTGCTTCTACATTCCAGCCAGCCAATCCAAAGATGTCATTCTCATAAAAAAGTACGACCAAATGGTTATCTTCCACTGTTTATTTTGGCCTTCACTGACTCTACTAGGTGGCGCCCTGATTGTTGGCATGGTGAGGTTAACACAGCACCTGTCCCTACTCTGTGAAAAATACAGCGCTGCGCTCAGACATGAGGCGGGTGGCCAAGTACCTCATATGGGACAGCATCCATTCAAACTGTGGAGTGCGGGGAGGAGCAAGGGAAGGAGCAGAGAAGTCTTAAGATGGGGACCAAATTAAAGTCCTGGCCTTCACATACCTGCAGTTTCTGCACTTGAGCACATACTTATAGCTGCTTGCAAACTGACCACGTAGAGGCAATTAAAGTTAAGTATGATATTTCATGTGGGAAAGAAATTTTTAAAAACCCCCTTATTGTGTATTCTATTTATTCTATAAATAAATACAAATTCACTGTCTTTTCTACTCCAAAGCTCTTTCTACAGGAACCAAGGAAGCATTTTCTTTGTTCCTTTGTGGCAAAATGAACTCAAGATAGTTGCGCTTTGTCTAATTTCAGCTCTAGCTAGAACGTGTCACTGTGGAAATGAACGTTGAGAGTATCTAACCTATGGAGCCCTGAACAACTAGCCTAGTTCTATGCAATGTAGTTCACATGAAGGCATTTCTCCAAAACATTCTTAGTGAAGAAGAGTTCATTCACCAAAGGAAGATGATAATCTGGTAATTTCAGAAATGTGGACCCACCGTTCTCCTTCATTCATGACAAAGGAAGGAAGCCACTGCCTAGAAAATTCACTAAGCTTAGAGTTATTTGTACTTAACCTCGTCATGTACCAGTAATTTTTCTTTCAGCAACATTTTTCTAGTTAATTATGCTTTCTGTAAGCTCATTTTATTCTTTGTGCACGTTCTGGTGGGAGTGGGAGAGATGGCTAGAAATGTGCGAAGTAGGGAGAAGCTGTAGTGGATGGAATTTAACCTGCATCTCAGATAATCCACATCGCAGAGAAGTCCCACAAGGATCGTCAGCAATTGTCTGTAATCAATGAATCAGCCAAGGTTATGAAATAATGAACGTCACAAGACTTTTCCAACAAATGATTTCCAGATTAAGCTGAACATATGAGGTGAAAACAGAGTTTGTTCTGAAAACCAATGTGCCTCAAAGTATGTTTAAAATTGTACTAAAAAATCGTACATCGTGGGCAATAGACAGACTTTTGAAGCAACTTTTATATGTAACCAAAACAGAAACTTTGATTCCAAGTCAATTTAATGCCTTTAGCAATTAATTTTGTCACAAATTACTTAAACTGAATAATTAAACAGAGCGATATTGACTCAAGTAGTAATGAACAATTTTGGTGTTTTTTTCTGTTTCCAGTGTGAAATAGTGGAGAGAACATGTGTCTTAGAGTAATATTTATTTGAATTTGTAGGCCATAATTAACTTTTCAGCTATGTATCCTTGGGCAGTTCAGCTAGCTGTTCAAGCCTCTCTCATCCAGAAAATGGGGATAATCTCTTCTTTCATGGGTTATTTTACAGAATGAACAAGGTAGAGTATGTGAAACGCCTTCGTTTCTGGCACCTAGTAGAGGTGCCCTAAAATGTTAGTAGATGAAAAAATCTTCTAAGTTTTAATATTCAGTCAGCCTCATGGCTCTTCTGGATGTATACCTGAAGGAAATGAAATGAGTACCTCCTAGAGATATCCACACTCCCACATTCACTGCAGCATTATTCACAACAGCCAAGACATGGAAACAACCTAAGTGGCCATCGACAGATGAATAAAGAAATTGTGGTATATATACATATAATGTGTATATCTATACATACAATGGAATATTATTCAGCCTTAAAAAAGGAGGTCCTGGGGGCCGGCCCCATGGCCTAGTGGTTAAGTTTGGCTCTTCGCTTCAATGGCCTAGGTTTGGTTCCCGGGCAGTAGACCTACACCACTCGTCAGTGGCCACACTGTGGTGGTGACCCACATACAAAATAGAGGAAGATTGGCACAGACGTTAGCTCAGAGAAAATCTTCCTCAGCAAAAAAAAAAAAGAGGAGATCCTGCCGTTTGCAACAACATGGATGAACCTGGAGGCATTAGGTAAGTAAAATAAGCCAGACACAGAAAGGAAATAACTGCATTTCACTTATATGTGGAATCTAAAAATGTCAAATACGTAGAAGCAGAGAGTAAAATGGGGGTTCCCAGGAGTGGGAAAGTAGGGGAAATGGAGAGTTGTTGGTTAAAGGGTACAAACTTTCAGTTACAAGACAAATACTACTGTACAGCATGTTGACTACTGTGCCGAATACTGGAAATTTGCTAAGAGTAGATTTCAGGTGCTTTCATCACACACACACACACACACACACACACACAGTAACTGTGAGGAAAGGATGTGTTAATTAGCTTGACTGTAGTATTCGTTTCACTATGTATATCAAATCATCACATTGTAAACCTTAAATATATACAATGCTTAAGAAAATTAAAAAAAATTCAGTCAGCCTTGGCAGCTTCACACCTTTTACTGGACAGCTGGTTCAGGGCTGGGGAGGCAGCTGCAGGAGAGGATTTCTCACCTTTTCTTGGCTAAATATGATATGCATCGGTCCAGAATGTGCCGTTTAAAAGGTTGTGGTAAATTATTTTGTATAGCAAAGACTTCCCTGTAATAAAATATATGTATGCATACACATTTTAAATCATTCTACAAACTGAGATTCTATAGATTTCTTAAAGTTAGAGAGCACATCTCTATTCCATTTCTTATTAAGTTTGACACCCGTCTAACAATATGCAACTCTTGGGGGTTTTCTCCTAACAAATTCAAAACGATTAATTGGAAACCTGAAGTGTGTGAAAGTGTGAAACCCAAAGTGTTTCAATTACTACAGGTTTCCATTCAGAGAGTGGCTACTTGGTTCCTCTCAGGAAAGGGCAACGTTATGCTTGAAGAACAAAGTCAGTTGAGAACAATGTTAATTCAAAGGCACTCAAAGCATTTGGCAGAAATTTCAGTAATTATTTGCTGTCAATTGCTTAGAAGTACTACATGTTATTGCCCATGTGCATTACAGGTCCAATAAGAACCCTACCAATAAAATCCTCACCTTCTGCAAGGATTACAAAGCTGAAAGCAAAACCAGTTTGCTTCTAGCCTAACTTTGCTTTTAGGTTCTGGTCTTCAAGAGACTTGAATAAAAGGCCATCTACACATACACATTCATACAAGTAGTGTATAAATATATTTCTACTTAAAATGCAAGCATATAATTCTCTATGCTTAAAGGAAGTTAATATTTAAAGATATTTCTCTAATATTCATCACTCTACCGGGGCAGAAAAATTGACTTTTAAGGCATAATACTTTCAGATTTTCCATCAACTATTCTTAATCATTATTAATAAGTACTCAAATTAAGCTAAATTTTGATTATTAGCAACACTGGTTTGCTTTTAAGTATTCATGACAAAATATAATTATCATAGTTTTAAAAAAAAATATAGTACACTAAGGATTGTTTGGACACAAGTCAAAGTAATTTTTTTTTTTTTTTTAATAAAGAGCGTGATGTTACAGACTGCAAAGTTAAAGAAAAGCAGACATTGACAGTTTCTGATGAGCACAAACAGTAAGTGCAGTCACAGGCCAAACTTCTTGCTAGGAACAGCAAGACTGGGAAGAGGTCTTAAATTGAGTGACACTATATTATTCTATATTCTCATTACAGTAACACATGCATCTTGCTGTGTCAAATACTTTTTTGGGCCATCATTAAATGAACATTGAAAGACATTTTCCTCCTAACTAATGCAGTATACCACAGGACTTCAATTCACTGAATGACAAAATAGAGAGAAATGGATCTGCTACAATAATAAATGGGGCTAAAAAGGGTGGTGGGAGCTCCTTTTCGAAGCTTCCAAGGTCAACATTTGATGTGTTAGGAATCTTCTTTCGGTTGTGCCACATCCCCCAAGGGATTACAGTGTTATGTTATGTTCCAGAAGGATATATTCTTGTAGATTTTATTGAACCTAATTCAGTCCGATGACTGAATCACATTGAAATCATTAGTTGCATTTGAAACTTAGGTTCCATAGCCAAAAACATTTCTAGAAATCAGACAAAGGCCAAGCTCTCCAACCACTCTTAGGAACATAAATTAAATCTGATAAGGGGCTTTTTCTTATAAAATCAGTAGATTATGACTACATTTGGAAATTCATACTAGAATTAAGGAGTTTAGTCTTATTATTTTGAGAAAATATAAAACAATGGTTTTCTGCCTCCTTGCTAACCTAGGATTAACAAAAATAAGAATCACCTAAAAACATACATGGTTCTTAGCATAACCACAAAATTATTGTAGTGACAGATTAAATGGACTTAATTGGCTTACAAAATGCACTAAAAAAGTCATTCCATACTTACCAACACGAGGAATGGAGTCTACTGTTGGTAGTCAAAATTAGTTACCCAACTATACTAAACGTACAACGGACTGATTCTACTTTTTTTCTTCCTGCTAAAACTCTATATGTAGTTGCGTAAAATTAAGTCAGAAAATGTCCTTCTGGCTCCTGTCACTTTATGCCAACTAGTGCGGCTGTAATATTAACATCTCTAAAACCAAGCAAAAGGAAGAGTGCTGCAAGAAAGGGAAGTGCGGACCCCTAATCAAGTGGGATACTTGAATGAAAGAGGCTTATTTAAAAACTAACAGCCCAAATTGGGAAACTCCTAATCAATTCTAAACTCTTGTGAATTTTAGAACCTTGATGTTTACACCTTTTGTGAAATATGCCTCTTGACTAGGGCTAGCAAGCAGCATGTATACAGGTAGAAATGTGTGCAAATACACACACATCTATTTTACCAATTAGGAAGAAGAGAGAATGAAATTCATTTCAAATGCTGAATTCAAGAATCTAGTACCATGAACCTCCTGGCACTATAGCCTTTTCCAAATGGCTGGAGCAATGATTAAATTTTAACCAAAGAATTTTCTTAATGTCTCCACTGCCATTAAAAACAAGGCATGCCAACTCTGACTTTATAAATCTAAAATACAGTGCTCTGCAAATTTCTGTAATATCAGAGCCTGAAGCATTGAATTGTGACATCTCTTTTTTTCCGTACTAACCTTCTGAGGTAGAGTTACCAATCCAATTCTATCAGGACCATAGTTACCTTGAGCTAAACCCTATATATCTTTTCAGAAAGTCAAAATAACTTTTAAGAGAAAAGAAAAAAGGCTTCCCAGGCCATAGCACATAAGATACATTTACGATTTTTAATGTAATAAAAAATAAAAATGGTTTGTGTTTATATTTTACAAAACAGCCCAGCTGTATTACTCTCTGTCACCAAGAATTAATATGAGGACCCTGTCAATGCTGAATCTTATAGTTCAGCCTTCACAATCCCATTCTTGGTGAAGAGTGAATTCTCCCATGGTATGCACAATATACTCTCACAACTTTGTCTTCTGTTAGTGCCCCATGTGAGCAGGATGGATATGAAGAATGTAATTTGTTCAAGCAACTCCTCCCTGTTCTGTCCCCTCCCTCCACATTCCCCTCTTCTCAAAAACATCTTAAGTATGAAATTTGTTTTTAAATAGTAGAAGCACCACAATCCATCAATGCCACAAATGGTCTTTAAACTGAAATATTTTAGTGATGTCTTGGACATCAAAATCAATTTTTCTAAGGTGGATTCTGAGTGTGTGGGTCCAGCCCAGGTCTGCAGTTTATGCAGACATAGAAACAAAAGGAACTTATTCAGAAAAAGTTAACCTGCTGGCTTTAAAATAATGCTGGAAATTAAATGCTTTCAAAGAGTTGGCAAGCATGGGCTATTGGTCAGAATATGAATTAAACAGATTACAAAATCATTAAGAAAGAAATCCCAGTTTATGTGCTGTGAAATATCTATGGTGCCTTTAAAACAGACTCCTCATAATTTTTTTATAATGCCACATCACTCAATTTTTGATGGAAAAAAGAATACAGATGGACTGTTTTACCTATGTGAAAATCACCAATAAATTTAAAATAAAATCCAAGATGGTATATACATTCTAATCAAGTCATTGATTATTTTCCTGGTTAATAAGAACTACACTTTACACAAAATACTTTATCAGCAGCTGTTTTCATCAAAAAACCAATAGTCATAATTTCACAGTTGAAAAAGTTACACATTAAAATATTTTACAATTCATTGTATATTCACCAGGTTCTCATTTCCTAAAGGGCTTGTAATATAAAGGAGAGTAGAAGGGAAAACCTCAAAGTTGATTACTTTGACAGTAAGTTTTACACAGGACACTAAGAACCACCAAAAGCTGAGGTTCTGTCATAAAATAGCAATCAAATTCCATTCTTCTTTAAAAAATCCAATTAGAAACATCTTTTTTAAAAAACCAAATTCCACAATATGATTAACAGATTTCAAATTAACAGCAGTCTAAAAGTCTTCAAAATAAATGATTTTGTATAGCTGAGAATATGATCAAAACTTAAAACCATGATTTTCAAACAGTTGATTATTTCTTGCTGGAATGTGTTTAAAATTTTTTTACTTCCTTTAAACCTGCTTTTCTTTTTTTCTCTAAAATAGTCATTGAAGGAAATATTGCTCAAATGACCAAATGAAATTGTAGAGCCAATGGTCACTTATACCATATTCAATGACAAGGATGGTTTTCCATAGAAACTGACCAATCGGAATTGACCTCTGATCCGGAAATACTTGGAAGCAGCTATATTATCACTGAGTTGAAGCATATCCTAGTCACCCCATGTAGCATTTAATTCAAGTTTTGATTCTTTACCTTCTGAACACTACCTGTCCCTTTTTTCTTATTTTTAATGTTGTTTGCTTACACTCTGCTTGGATTTATTTAAAATTTGCTTTTAGCTAGATCATTTAATACATATTCTTATAAAACTTGTCTATACTTCAAACAGAATTAATCTGGTTGTAACTCTTGAAGATAAACATAAATGATGAAATACGCTATGTGGCGTGTGTTTTAATGGTGGAGAGGTCCCAAGGGAAGGGGACTATCTGGACTGATGCGAAAAATGCAAAGAATTGTGTAAATTTTGTGCAAGGAAGCTCAAAGCTTTTTTGGCACTTGGGTAAAACACGGGTCTCTGTTAAAACTTCTCAGTTTCCACCATCAAAGTTTCAGATTTGTACCATTTCACTGAGTTTTTCTGTAATCAATCCCTGACATACAAAAGACTGGGATGTTAGTATGTATTAACTAAATATATCTAAAAGACACAAAATGTTAATCATGAATTTTTAATAAGTTATGAAATCTTCTATATCTGCAAAAGAATCTATCTGGTTTTCTGCTTAAGACAGAGTTTAAATTCTTCTTAACTATCCCCCAAGACAGTTTAGAGAAGTTCCCCTAATCCTCAAATTTATTTTTCTTGTTGGCAATATTATATACATGCTTTAGTGAAGTACCTAAATCTTCAATAATTATGCCCTTTAAGGGTTCTAAAATAACCAAATATTAAGAGTATTTGTATTAGAGTCCCTTGTTCACTATTCAAGACTTCTACTATAGGTAACTGATTTCATAAATGAAGAGTTTTTAAGTGATGCTGTTTTTCTAGAGTATACAATGTGCACTCTTTATAAAGTTGAATTCCAATAATATGCCTAATCTAGAAAACTGTCATTAAATTATTGCACTTCTCCTGGTGTGGCACCTGGACATTTGCTAAAGCTATTTCCTAGGGCATTAATGATTCATTTCAAATACTGAGTAAAATACCTGATTCTAGACTGATGACTAGCATTAGCCCCTACAGCTTGGGTTAATGTTTTTCAAAATGTTTAAGAATGTACCCTTTGCTCAAATGCAATTTAATAAAGTTGGACAGTGAGCCCTGACCACTTGGAAATTGGACATGATCTTAAAATGGTTTAAGGTCCTCTTTTTCTTATTGAGATATTGGATAAATAGCCTACAAGGTAACAAGTTCCTGGTTTCTATCCCCCATATTATAAAGTAGCATTCATGAGCATACCTCGGTAGAGCGCTTGAGCAATCAGGAAGATACTCTAAGTTGTGTTAATTTGGTAACTATTTCATATGATGGAGGCATTCTCAACTATAAAAGAGGATGGAAGATGGGGGATTCATGTGGAAACAGAAAGAAATGAAAGGAAAGAGGATAAACTTTCATCTGTTTTCCATAAATAGCTATACACTAGTTATTGGTATAAATGGGACAGTGCCTGAGCCTCACCCACAGACCAAGAGAAAAGCTGACCATGCTGCTACAAACAATAAAAAGTTTGGGGTGCAAAACAATGCATGACTATGGGACAGATCAGGTAAATAAAGAATATATATTAATGATAGGTTCTATAATATAAATAGCCTTTAATAAAAAAAATAATCTTTTTAATAACATTAATACTCACTTCTATTTTCTGGAAAACATGCATGAAAAATGTATTCAATTCAATTGCAAAAGGAGAAAAAAAAAATCAACCTAAGATGAATACTGTACAATTCTAGAGCAAGAACTATTCCTGCTCATTCTTTCTCTATGATGATTATTTTACTTTGTGGGAGCCCAGAATTTCCCTGGGAAATAAGAATCAGATTCTTGTAAATACTGTCCAGAAAAAAACCCAAAAATGCCACCTTATAACAGGTCTCATTTGTGACTGCTTCCAAAACTTTGCAGATAAGATCCCAAATTGTCAAAAGGTTTGATTTATTAAAAGGAAAAGTCTCTGGTGAAATCTTAAGAGTCCCTTCCACCCCAAGCATGTTTCTTCATTAAACAAGGAGTCAAAAAACCCACTTCAAACTATAAATTGAACAGCAATGGAAAAATAAGAAATTTTCATTCTTTTCCAATCTTAACGTAAATTTAACAGTAAACTCCAGTTTACTTGGACCTAATGCAATAATAGACTTTGTTGTGTCCACATTTCAAAACGGAACATTTGCAAGACAAAAAAAGAACATCATTCTTTTTCCTTCTCCATCATTTCTATATATTTTGGGGTTTTTTTGTTTCATTTTTTAAAAAAAGATACAAACAATCTTCAAAGTTTACCTTTTTGGACTTAAGGCATAACATGAAATTGCGCATTATTCTAAAGCTTAATTTTGAAATGAACTAGTTTAGTGCTATCAAACCCTGTTTGCGTTTACATTATTTAAATTATATAGTATTTTATTTCTGTTCTTGCTGTAAATTCTAATGCTGTTCATGGATTGTGCAATTCCTATGCAATCAGTCTGTGCCTGTTGACAGTTATTAACAGTGCAGTAGAGAATCCAGATATTGAGCTTTCCGTTTCGTAGTTATCATTTCAGTTCAAAGCATGCTGCTTAATTGTGTGGAAGATCCAATCCATTTTTGTTGTCCATCCACCATGGTGTGCATCATTCATTTGTTTCATGAAATATTCCAAAGCCTCTTGCTCAGTTTTATCTAAAGCTAAGGTCTTTCGAATGTATGCAATATCATCAAAAGATTGTAGTTCTGGCATTCCAGAGCCAAGCATCATTGAGAAAAGATTTATGAAGAGATTGGCATGCTGCCGAATAGCTAGATAAGCCTTGTAACACATCTCCTGAAACCTACAAGTAATGAGAATAGTTTGGTCAGTATGGAGCAAATGCATTCATACTGAGTCTCTGCTCAAATGTCACACGATTACAGAGGGCTTCCTGGACAAACCTAGAAAAAAATCGCATCTTCTCCCCATTCCCCTTACCAACACTTTCTCTTTCCTTTACCCCACACTAGGATGTGAACTCCGTGAGTCCATGAGGACTTTGTTTACTGCTTTATCACCAGCACCTAAATTAATACCTGGTACCTTAGGAGTTTAATAAGGATTTATTAAATGTATGAATTGGTCCATACTAAAGACTTTAGGGTTTAGGCAGGGCCAGGACTGAGTTATAGATAAAACAGAATTTTATAAAAGCTTTTTAAAAGTACTCTACAGTTTAAGATAGACTAGTGACATACCATAAGGTGGCAAGAAAAATTACAAATAAACATGGTAATTATAGTTGACTGAATTCCTGAAATTAAAAAATGTTGTCTTAAGCACTATACATTATTTGTCATTACAGAGAAGGTGGAGCCCAACTATTCAAACAGCAAAAGCACTAAATAAAAACTTTTAATGTATTATGAAGTTTAAGGATCACTTTGTTTTTAGGCCTTACTTGACTACATAAATTAAATTGGTTTTTCTTTCCATTTCCTTTGCAGCATTATACAATAAGTAAGTAAAAATAAATATACTGAAACATTCAGTTTACGCTACAATGTTAATATAACATCTATTATTTTAAATTGCTTGAAAAATATCAATTGTTTTTGATAGAGCAGTAAGAACTCTATTTGTACTTTCAATTTCTTGAGCTTACCTCTCAAATTCTCTTGTCTTTGTGCATTCCTGGGCTCCTTTACTAATCACTATTAAGAAATCTTGTGTCAAAACAAATGGCACACGTTCTCGTTTATAACCAAATTTTTTCTTCTTGTGATCCAAAAAGTGTCCAAAGTCTATATGAAACAGCTTTCAGAAATAAGAAATTATGTTATAATCTGACAAATGCAGAAATACAATATCCTGAATTAATACATTTAAGAACGCCAAAACATTTTAAAAAGAGAAAGCTATTACTTGTCCATCATCTTTCACCATGATGTTACTATTGTGACGATCTCCAATTCCCAAAATGAAGGTAGCGACACAATATCCAGCACACGAACGTGTAAACAGATCAATGGCTGCATCATATCTACAAAGAAGAAATAAACACCTCATAAGTAGTGTGGAAATAAAGAGTGATCCAGTCCAAACTGGGAAAAGATGGTCACAGACTGTATCAAAACAATGAAAACAATCACTGACATTAAGAGGAAGAAGTAATTTTGTCAAAGATCTGAGGAATTTTGAGATTGTAAACTTTTCAAGGGTTTCTAAGGAAATTTCTAGATATTCTCTGACAAAAGCATAATTCTTAATATAGTGAAAAAATACTTAACATGTCATTAAATTTTTTCTAATTGTGAAGTAAAATTTTGAACGTGCAATGTTATTTTAAAAAAGAATAAGCAATAAGAAAAACACATTTGAATACCTAAGTTGAATATACATGATTTCACCAAATTATAAGCAATTCTGATCATTTAAACACAATAATCTCAAATATTTCAAAGGTTGAACGTATTTTTTTCCAAAGTAGGTACAATTGTCTTCCCTGGTTTAACTCAGAGAAATATACACAACCACTAAAACACTAACAAAAACTTAGATTAACATAGGCAGAAAACTCACATTTCTCCTTTGTTCTTGTCTTTGAGCCACTGGTGTAGCGTGTGGCTGTTGAACTGAAGTGCACCCTTCAAGCCGCCTTTGCACTGAATTTGCATAATAGTGTGAGAATTTCTCACCACCTCAATAAGTCCCACGCAGTCACCAATTGACAGACAACCGTAAGGTAACATTCTAAAAAAGGATCAAGATATTTGCAATTAAATGATGGAACTTTGAAATAGCAAATATTTTAATAGGCTAATACAGGAATATTCTATTTGCAAATCTGCCATGCGTGACATTTACCCCCTTAACCTAATTTTAATTTCCTCTTATTATAATGACAAACATTCCTAGAAAAATCCTCAAAATTATCTGCCATCATTTATTATAACCTTCAATTGAAAAACTATTTATGTATCAGAAAAGCATTATGAAAATTATTGTGGCAATTAAAATTTTATAAACATTTATGACTTTAAAAATACAGGTGAATTTAAAGATGTTTAACTGACATTTAACTAATGCTTTAGGGCAGCAGTTCTCAAATTTCTGGTCTCAGGACTCCTTTTGCTCTTTTAAAAATTACTGAAGACACCAAAGAGCTTTTATTTATGTGAGTCACATCTATTGATATTAGAAATTAAAACTGAGAAAATAAAAAATTAAAATATTTATTAATTCATTTAAAGATAAACTCATATAGTAAATAAATAACATCTTTTATGAAACAAAAAACTCTATATTAACAAAAACATAGATGTCTGGCTTAATAGTACTGAGCTGGATTCTCATATATGCTTCTATATTCATACTAATGCAATGTTTTAATTGAAGCATATGAAGAAAATCTGGCCCCACACAAATCCGTAGTTGAAAAAGGAGGAGTATTGTAACAGCCTTTTCAGTTAATTGTAGATATTTTCCTTGATACTATTCCAAAAGTTGATGAGAGAATTTCTCAAGTTGCAATATCAAATATGAAACCATATCAATAAACTTTTCATACTCTGTTACATTAAAATAGATTTGTCTATCTTGCCTCTGAATAGAACTTTTACCTCTCTATGACTTTATAACATCTTGTATTGGTCATCCAGATGGTATTAGTTCACTGAGTTATGGAGATGTTTCAAATGTTGATACTTTTCATTATACCAATGAAAAAATCACAATTATTAATATTACCACTGATCTCATCAGAAAAGTCTTTCCTTTGGGGGGAAGCTGTTATGCTCACAGCAGTGGATACAAGTTTTGCAAAATTCTAATTTTTGCGTGAAAGGTCAAATTTTATCACTGAAAACAAATATTGTCAGTTATTCTACTTGAAGAGAGAAGCTCATATTGTTCATTTTCAAGAAAATGCTGCCAAATACCCATGTCTGGTTAACTAGAGCTTGTCTATTATTTATTAAGTAAAAAAGGGTGTTCTCTGAAAAAAGCAGTTAGTTCATCTCACAACTCAAATAACACACAAATGTTCTTCCTTGACACAACCATACTTTGATAAACAGCAGAAGTGCTTTATGGGTACTTTCTATTCATCACAGAATATTAAAAATGATGTAGTCACTGGTGGAGATGTGAGGATTTAGAGACAATAAAAAAAGAACCTAACACTCCAACTGGCACGGAAATACTAAGGTATGGTCTGTCACGGTCTGTTGTTCTCATAAGCTACTGTACATTCTTTCCACCTTTCCTTTACTTCTTAAATTCCTAAGAGTGATAGCCTACACTTGGTTTCATTTCCTCACGTAATTCCTTGTAGCCTAACTTCTATGTCTACCACTCTACTGACTCAGTTCTTAAAGCTAATCATGAATCATCAAACCCAAGGGCTTTTCCACAGTCCTTATGCTCTTAAACCCCCTGAAGCACCAGACACTATAAATTGTTTGTGAATCTCTCCCCTCTTGGGTCCTGTGCATCACTTACTCCGGTCCTCCTACCCTTTGAACATTTCTCTTAACGGAATCTTTTCTTCTACCTGCCCTGGTAAATACAGGAATTTCTTAAGGTTATATTCCTGCCCATTCTCTCTTATTTTACATTTTAATTTTATTACTGTTGAACATGCTCATAGTTTAAAGAGTCATATAGTCCTATAAGGCTTGTTATTTAAAAAAAACCAAGCAGAGTTATAATAAACCTGAATCTAAGTTTTGCCAAGTACAAATAAAAATGCTATGATTTTACTTAAATTAGCTTTTTATTTAAACTTTAAATAAAGCTTTTTATTTAAATTTAAAAGAAAAAATATTTAGATAATATCATAAGACTTAAAAAACTTTCCAAAGATCCAACTTACTTTCCAATGACCCAGCTAAACTTTAGATGGTTTTTTGCACAGCCACTGATTTACAATTAAATATTGTAATTACCAGAGTTATACAGTTAAGTCATTTTCTCTACTCTGCCTAGTTCTGCCTTCTCTTTTGTACTCTACTCTCCTAGGGGTGGTGGTAGTGGCACATGATCTCTCATGACACAGGAAATTATACCAAAAAAGAAAACAATTTGTAGTAACCTTAATTGTTTTCGAAAAGCAGCAGGAATTAAGCAAAGAATTAGGAGTTAAGAGTTTGAAGTTGATGACTTAATTTTGTGCCTTAGTAGTTACTTGAGATGTTCATTTTTCTTCCTTGTAATAAAAGGGTTCAACAACATTTGTCACCAATATATTTTTATATACTAGCTGCTATTAATCTCTAAAAGGCATACGAATAAACCCTAATCCACTCTGCTGCTGCAGCTAGAGTCGACTCCTATGCTCACTTACAAACAAAAATACTTTAGGAGGGAGGGGCCTTTGTCTGAATAATTCTGGATTTGCAAGGAGACAGTAAGAGAGGGAAAAACTATTAGAAACAAAAATGACTTGGAAACTTGGAGATAATACTGATAATTGTGGAGGGTGGGCAGAAACCAACAGAATGGCAAAAACTTTAAGATTAGCTGCTTTCATAAATTTTGCTGCAAAATTGATTCACGATTAGAGGATTTATGAAGTTTTAGAATTAGAAAGTTTATATTATGAAACTTTCCTTTTAAACTCTCAACTTCTAAATGAACACAGGAGCCTTTTGTGTCTCCTCGGTCCTCTTCCTAAACAGTGGCACTCTGGAGGCAGCAGGAGAGTCCCTGTTACCAGTTTATCAGAGAGCTCTTCTGACCTGGCTGAATCTCGTCAGCCAAGGAAGAGGAGGACAAATGAAAGTACCACAGTGTAATCAACTAGTGTCAATTACTACTCCGTACATTCTTTATAGATATATGCCTCTATATGCTTTATAATGAATATTTATTAAGAGTTTATTTTCAGGATAACTTTCAACATACATGTTGCTTTACAGGTTACCTACCGAAGATCAAGACCTTGATTTTGCCAGATATTTTCCATAATGCGAATAATCTGAAGTGTTAGCATATCTTGCCGTAAATCTGAAAATCAAATAATATATACCACCACTTAATGCCACAAATACAAATTTGGGTTATCATGTCATCACATTGTTCTTAAACAGAAAATAAATAGAGCTATAGTTACTCTTCAAAATAATCTATAAGGAAGCAATATTCTGATTCTTTAATCCATTTCTGAAGTATCTGCATAAACACATTCGTATAACAATGTAGGATAAGCCAGCATGTATTTCACAAAAATTTTAAATTAAAAATTTTAAAGTACTCAGTTTTCTGAATCCTTACATTTGAACATGTTTATGTTAAAATATTGGGATTAACAGAATTCAGTGCTAAAATGTCATTTTCCAATGGAAAACCATCAATGATACATTTTTTAGTATATAAAAACGTATTCCCCCCAGCCTGTTCTCCAAGTGAATTAGGACCTTCGTTTATGTGATTCCTTAGCAGACTACACTTTTCCTTTGTACCACGGTTCTAATTTTACTTTTGTAATTATTTGTTTAATGTCTCCCTTCTCCCTGCTAGACTGTAAGCTCTAAGAGGGCAGGGATTCTGTTTTGTGTATTCTTACAACCCCAGGGCCTAGCACATCAAATATTTATGGATACTCACACAGCTAAGCAAATAATAGTTAGAAAGTGATTTCAGACCTGATTCTAAACCTAGTACTTCTTTTCTTTTCAATAATTATACATACATATTCTAAAGGTTAAGACATCTGCCTAATATTGTATATTTTACCACATGCGTATTCCTTAAATGGCTTTCAATAGTCTTTGTGGTTCATAAATATCCTGTCTATAAAAAGATAGCTAAATTCATGCATCATAAGTTCATTAATACTCTTCCTTACCATCACCATTTTTAAAGATGATCTCATTGTTCTGAAAGAGTAACTCTGACATGATGTCTGGGTTCTCCCAATTCAACCACAGCGGCCTCTTGGCAGAGGACATAATTCGACACTCTTCAAGCCTTTAAAATAGTTAAAAACTTCACTAGGCATCTTAGCTTTGTTATTCTTTTTGCCTTCAAATTTCTTTTATATATACATATACAGTATAGCTTTTTGAAGTGTTATAAAAATTTTAAACTTTCTCCTCAGTTTTATTTATGAATTCATTTCTCCAAGGGAGTATAAATAAAAAATAAACATTAAGCTTAAAAATTTTTTACATAACAGCATATGAATTTTCAATAAATATTGGGACATATCATTAGTTTTACAGATAATACGCTCCATTTCTTATCATATGATACCAAAAGTTTTGGCCATAGAAAATTTTAAACTCTAGGGGCCAGCCCCATGACAGAGTGGTTAGCTTTGGTGGCCCAGGGTTTCACTGGTTTGAATCCTGGATGCAGACATGGCACCGTTCATCAAGCCACGCTGAGGTGGCATCCCACATGCCACAACTAGAAGGACCCACAACTAAAAATACACAACTATATACCAGGGGGCTTTGGGGAGAAAAAGGAAAAAAATACAATCTTTAAAGAAAATTTTAAACTCTATTATTAAAGTAGTAAAAACTCATTCTGAATAAATGTAGTTCCGAACTTACGAACACTTTAATACTCTAATTTCGCATGTAGGAGAATGGGAGAGGGAAGCATATATGATTGGACATTCTAATTATAATAGACATTTTGACTTTTCTCCAGATTTTCTCCAGAAAGAGTACTTGTTTAAATAATAAAACTTCCAATAAAGTACCTTACCTGAGATTTCCTAGTTGATGAGCAGGGTTTAGAGGAGACAGAAAGCCCTGCAGAGCATCCATGAAATCTGGTCGCCGCATCTGCTCAACTAAAAACTTCATCTGTACCTGATAAATAAGCAGAATCGTGATTAGAAACTGATTTCATAAAAGGTAAAACTAACTGCTAATCTCTCTTACACACTGGAAGCTTAGTGTTGGGCAGTCTTGGAATCCATATTCTGGATTGGCTCTATTCTAATCAGAAGGATTCCTGTAACACAGAGCAGCGCCACTCAGGCAGAGAGGCAAGAGGGACAGCACTGTGCACCTTCCTGTGAGAAGAAGTGCATGCTGACAGTGGCAATGTTTTGGCTGCAGAGCAAGGCTTGGTCAACTATGGCCTGCAGGCCAGCTGCCAGTTTTTGTAAATCAAATTGTACTGGAATACCACCACGCCCACTCATTTAGATACTGGTTGTTTTCACACTAGAATAGTGGAGTTGAGTAGTTACAACAGAGATTGCATAACCTGCAAAGTCTAAAATATTTACTATCTGGCCTTTCAAGAAAAAGTCTGCTGACCTTTGTTGTAGAGGAAAAACTTTGGAGACATCATGTTAGCTTAGTTTAATAACCTTACTTTTAAGCTTTTCAGAAAACACCACATTCACTCTTCCTCTGTTGGGTTTTTACCTCTTTTAAGATCTGGTGAGGCTAAAAGAAACTGCTGGGAAAAGGACTTGTAAAAACATTTGATACACTGAGTCTCACATTATACTCAGGTTTTAGTATATAGTAAAAAAACATCCTTTTTAAATCAATTCAAGCCAGAGCCCAGACTGCTGAGCTATCATGTAATAACTGCCATTTTATTTTAGCAAACCTCCGTCTATGGAAAACATAAAATGCGAGTGGAGAAATAAAAGAGGTTAGGGACTAGGAATTCATAATGAATTAATTTTCATGCTACAATTTGAGTAATGAAATTTTTTTTTCCCTACTATGTCTAAGTGACTAGCTAGACAATCTAGTCCTCACTGACTAGGGCAGCTCTTGCTCACATAAAGGCATTTCTTTTTCTATCGCTATCAACCCTGGTGTTAGCACAGGGCTTCCTGCACTTTATCATTGTTATGATAAAACATGAAACCACACAAAGTAACTACATTTGTTCCTAGGACTGCAAGTTTAGTTCCCTAACACAATCCTATTTAAGCCAACAGTGATCTGAGTAATGAATTTCATGTTTCTAATTCATCCACTGTATCATAGCCAATCCGTGATATGAAAATTCCAGCTTAGAAGAAATGCCTATATTTACAAATTGAACTAACATCTACTTTCTTGTTTCTTACCTCAGTTACAATACAAATACAATCAATTTTATTTTTTCAAAGTGATCTAGCCCCCTCTTGCTCACAATTCCAGCATCAGAAACAGAACGATTATTTTCAAATACAGATTAATAACCTATATTTGAACTTATATATCAAAACTTCAATAAAATCAACTCACATACTGTATGACATTTAGATTAATATAGTAACTTTCTTTTAAATGTTTTTCTTTTCTTCAAGCAACATTAATAAGATGTTGGAAAAATGTATTCAGTACTGCTAATTTACATTCTCCCTCCTTTGGGGACTAAATAAACTAGGATTTTGTTTTTTCGTCTCACTACAGGTGAGGAGTGATCTCACTTTTTACTGTTGGATGTGGTGGATTGAATAAAGGATCAGGAGCAGGAAAAGGTCATGAGAAACCTTTCCATCTGATCTTCCTCAGTTACACCAAGCCAGACTGCAGATGACCAGAGCACGTGATATATTCACTGTGTGACTAAGAGTCCATTCAAACTTAGGATGTAAAAACTGATTTCTTTCCACTCAATTTCAGGGTCATTACTAAAAGAATAAATGACACACAATAAGGAAAAATCATTTTTAAAACTTAGGGCTATATAAAAGAGAAAGGAAGGGAAAGAGGAGGGAGCTAACATTGATTGGGCTCCTCTGTGTTCTAGGGACTGTGACAGGCGCTCTGCGTATCTCATGTCATTTGATTCTCACAGTAACCCTACGAAGAAAGTATTATTCTCACTTTATACGTAAGGAAAACAAATCTCAAGAGACTAAATAATGTGTCTAACATTACAAAGTTCAGAGGCAGTGGAGCTTGGATTCAAATCCTAATCTGCTTGATTCTAAGGCCCATAATCAGCAAATATATTGAGCTCTCAAATAAATCCTGCCCCACTGCAATGGAGAGAGTCTCAAAAACAAACTAGAGTCACATACCTTTTGTGTTTCATCCTTCTTCTCTTGTTTGAGAATGTCAGTTAAGTTAATGAGCTTTTCCATAGCCTCAACTTGCCGATTCAGGTGCTTTAAATACATTCCACATGCACGACAATAGGACTCCAAAAGCAGGCCAAACCTCTGACTGACTGTTTTATTGTGCATCTCAGACCTAAAAGAACAGTGCAAGATTAAAAAATAAATAGTCTTAAATGAGTTATACAGACACTCTTTTTTAAGAAAATCCATTTTCTAAATCCAATAAATGTTATAATCACACTAACAACAAAATGATTTAAAACCTATCATTTAGAAGTAAAACAATCAAACATTTCAGGTAATTCTTGGAAATGTAAATTTAATAAACTAGCTTTTAGGTTTATTTCAACTACTTTTCATTCACTAATCTCAGCACAAGATACAGGAACATGAAAAAAAGGAAATTAGGTACAAAAAATAATAAAATGAATAGGGAGGGAGCAAAGAGCTCAGTGAGTACTATTTGACTCTCCTGGCATACTTGTCCCTTTTCTATGCTGTCTCTGAATTCAAGTTAATTTAAACCTAGCTTCTAGTTTCCACTTTGGACTTCTTTTAGCATTTAAAAAATCATATTACAGATCTGTTTCTAAATTTAGAAAAAATGTATGGTTTATGACTCCAACTGTGAGTAATACATATATATCAAATTCTGTAAAAATACTTTTTATTCTTTTCTTTTTTTAAAAGATTTTATTTCTCCTTTTTCTCCCCAAAGCCCCCGGTACATAGTTGTGTATTTTCAGTTGTGGGTCCTTCTAGTTGTGGCATATGGGATGCCGCCTAAGCATGGCTTGATGAGCGGTGCCATGTCTGCACCCAGGATTCGAACCGGCGAAACCCTGGGTCACTGAAGCGGAGTGCGTGAACTTAACCATCTGGCCACGGGGCCGGCCCCAATAGTTTTCATTCTTAATTAGCTTGTTTTCTAGTAGGAAACTTGGGATTTTGTCATTACTGTTCTGAATTCCAAGGTGACATTTTTTTTATTTTGGGATATTTTAATCCACACACACAGTGAAATCAACTGCAACATTAATCTGGACCTAGGAAATTTTACTTTGCTTAAAGTAGATTCAAAATCTTTAAAAGTATTCCAGCTCTCATTCCTGTATAAAATTCAGTTTTGAATTTTACTGCTTATTTAATGTTAAAGAAAAAAGCTGAGGGAAACATCACTGGTACAATATACTTTCAGTATGGGAAACTCCCAAATAAAAACAACAGCTTATAAGTAAACATATTTATACATCTATAAAGAAAATGAGTAATATATATTTAAAGAGTTAAGTGGGAAAATAATTTGACTTACTTTAAATGCCAAAAGAAAAAGTGCCCAATCCTTTGATTAGTCAATGCTTTCTTGAGTAAAAATCTCACAAGCAGGTTATCCAAATACTGTTCATATTTTAGGACCTATGTGATCAAAAACAAACATAAAAACAACTCCACATCAATTGGGGTCAGTTTCTGCATGGTTGGATTTAAAGAAATTTTTTAGAAAGAAAGATACTACTGGTAATAAGACTGATTGTTAAAAAAGCATAAAACCAGTCAATACACTAGGCTTTGGAAGTTGCAGGATTTTAAATAAACCACTATTTTTTTACTTGACATTATTTTACCTGCACTAGCTGAATTAAGTACTGAGAAAGTTTGTCATCTGTTAAATATTTTTCCAAGCATCGAACAGCAAAACCGCGAACCATAGGGTCTGGGTAATTGCAGTCCAGAAGCTCCATAGCCTGTTCAGGTTTGATTGGAGGCCAATCTTTTACCAAGCAGTACATCTGTGTTCGAAAAAGATAATAAATCATATTTAAAAAGGAAAGAGAGTTGTGAATGAACCCTCTAAGAAACTGTTTTAATTTCTTATTTTAAAATTGGTTTCGATAAAAGCCCCCCTTATGAATTTACTACTTAACATGTTCAGTTCTAATTAATTTTATCAGGAGGGGGCGGAGCAAAATGGCGGGGTGAACTAATTAATTTTATCAATGGAAGTGGTGTGAACAATATTCTTCTCTACTATATTACCATTATTAATTAATTTAAAACACAGTCTATTTCATCTCTTATACTTATGCAGACTTTCTGAGAGAAAACAATTTGAGTGACATACCAAATTTGTGCAACAGCCACTCAGTAATCTCAAACACGCATTTACCTGAGCTACTTCATCTCTAGAATTCCACTTAACGGACAGAAGCAATTTGGGCAGAATTTCAGGGATAGTTACACAATAGTGTCTGTGTGGAAAAGACAAAACAAAATAAAAAACATTCTTGTGTGTTATCAAAAGGCCTGGATATCTAAAATTCCAAATATGCAATCTTTAAGAGGTTCCAAACACTTTTAAAATGTCTTACCATTACCAGCCTTCTTTAAAATCAAAAGAAATCAGCATTTAACACTACAGGTGCATACATATGTACATATATACTTAGACACAGTTATAATGGCATGAAAGACCAAAGGAAAATCCAAATGAAGGTCAGATAGGAAAATTTACGAATTTATGTTATAATGGTATATAGCTCCTATTATTCACCTACTTATTCACCATGAACCACGAAGACAGTCACCACTTCTACCGTGGTCACTGGGAAAAATTTGTTTTAATGAACTTTCTGCAGAAATGTACTGCAACTGCTTTATTTAAATAAACTAGTATACACCTACAAGTTGTAGGATAATTTCTTCATAAGTGAAAATAAGGTATTACACTACTACTTTGAGGAAGTATTAAAAAAAGGAAAAATGAAAGGAATGCCTAAAAATTGAAATATCTAGACCAATTAAATCTATCTAAAGCTACTGGGTACTTTTTTTGGATCTTGTGTTTAAAAAACAAACAAAAAACCCCCAAATCCTAAAAAAAGTTGTATCAGGGATTTAGAATTTTAAAAAAGCCTTCAATGTGCAAGGTTAGTACCAATGAAGCATGATTTTCTAGAAATATTGATCTATATAGCCAGTTTTGAAAAGGATAATGTTTATAATAATAAAAAAAGTCATGTAAATTATGCGTTCTTTACTCTAATAGTATGGTAGAAACATGGCAAGATCAGCCGAAGTCACTTCTTTCTTCTGTAATAGAGGAAAGAAAGAGTCTCCACCTTAAAACTTACCTGTGGCTCCACAGAAAATCTTTCTCTTGCTCAGTGATTTCAGATAGAGGATCTCGCGTACAAATTGCTCGTAGTTGTTCTTTATCATTTTCTCTTAATTCATTGTCTCTAGCTAGTCTGTTACTCTGTAAAATAAAGTAACATCTTATATGATTTTCTTTGCCATATTTTCCCCCTTGGATTCATGAGTGATCTACAAAAAAAGAAAATGAATTGTCGATAAACCTTACATTGCTTAACTGTTACTCAACAGTTTATCTTACTGCAAGACTTTATTTTCAGGATGGGGAAGAACCAACTTAAGACAAATCCAATAACTTACTTGGTTAACATTACCACCAACCACAGAACAGTAACCACCAAAGTTAGTCAGGGATAAGACCAGATTGGGATACTAGGGGGTAGTAGAGAATAATTTACTTTTCTTCCCGATGAGGCCCCTTCCTAGTATACTATTAACTAATCTGCTAATGTTTCTGGAATAAGAAATAGTAAAATAATAAAATAAACATGTAAATTCTTTCATAATCCTTGCCTGAATATATCCTTATAATCACTGCAAGGCTTTCAAATTTAAAAAGTAAAATTAAGGGAAAAAAGGAAAGGAAACAGCCCCATTAAAACACTGTAGACTGAATGTTAGGAAACTAAAAAAGCAAACACCATAACTTTTAGTATAATTCAAGATTCCAAGTAATGTATTTATTCCCTTTAAATATAGGTATATTAATTGTATAATGAATAATTATGAATGCATATTAATGTATTATGCAAAACAAATACACACTCCTCAGAATTGGTTACACATATCCCTAATGGCTAAAAGCAGACATCCATGCTACTTGCTGTTTATACATTTAAACAGTTAATTTATCCAACAGCATAAAGAAATATTACTGGCACATATTCATTCAAATATTTATTAAAACATGTACTGGGTGCCTTGTCCTGTTCTTACTGTTGGGGTCATAAAATAGTAAAATATCTTGCACTAACAGGGCCTCCATTATAGTGGAAAATTAAATGAACAAATAAGAAAAATATGGGAGAGCTGACAGAAATACTCTGGGTGATGTGACAGAGAATGACTCAATGGCTACTTTAGACTGGCTGTCCAGAAATGGCCTCTGAGAAGGTAATATTTAATTTGTGACCCAAATGACAAAAAGAACCTTCCACGCTAAGATCAGAGAAAAGACTGTTGGAGATAGAGGAAACAGTGAAAGTGCCCCAAGGAGAGAACAAGTCTGGTGGGAAGGAGGAACAGGAGGAAGGCCAGTGAGTCTGAAGCCCAGCAGATGAGGGAGAGAAGTGAGTGACAGGAGGTCATGCGCAGGGCATGTAAAATTTGCAGGTCAAGGTAAAAGGTTTGGATTTTATTTTTAGCGAAAAGTATTTAAAGGATGAATACCATGATGTAATTTGTTTCATAAAGATTATTCTGGCTCCTCTGTGGAAGGAGAGAGACCAGTTAGTGAGGAGACTACTGCTATAGTTCACCTAAGAGATAATAAATACTTAATCCTTAATTCACCAGAAAAAGTAGTCATGATCATTTACCATCTGGGTCCAATGGACTCCATTCTTTTATATTATTTCCTTATTTTTATCTGTTCATATTAGTAATATAAAATAATCTAGAGAATAAAGTGATGGTAAAAAACAATTTCATTAGACATCTTAATAAAGAATTTAAACATAGTAAAACCAAATTTATAATCCAAAACGGGCAATATCCTTTGACTGAAACTAACTGCTTGCTCACCAACCATCATTTATGAGCAAGAAACACATCCACCTTGTAAATATTGATTCCAGATTTCAAATGCATATCTAATAAGTTCTAGCTTATCATTACTTCTGGTTTTTGTTCTCATACTTGCATTGTCAAAATGCAATGCTTTTGAAAACTTTCATGCTCACAATTTTGTTGAAGAGAGGATAGCCATCTTCTTTGCTTCATAACTGCAAAACATTTCTATTTTTATACTTATAGATATCAATCAGAATAATCAATCCAAGGATCTTTAAAATTTCTACATCACCTTTTTCCTTCCAGTTATCTTTTATACACACCTGCCTGCAGCATTTATCCACTTAGAAAGTGTATCAAGTAAGTTTTGGTGCACAACATCATACAAGATGGAAAGAATATGGCAAAAGATAAGGTGTGGTCCAGATTCTTATAAAAAAATATTGTGTGATGAAGTCATCCCTGTTGAATGACTAACTGAATGTGAATACCATATTTCCTTTTTCTCCTTGGAAATATATTGTCCACTCATTGTTTTTTGAGTTTAAGGAAATTCACTTAGGATATTTTCATCTGACATTTCACTTATATGATCAATTTCACCATCATCATTAGAGTCTGGAGTAGTGGTTCTCAACTAGGGTGAGTGTGTCTTCTCTACCTCCCAGGGACCTTTGATATTTTTTGGACACATTTTTGATTGTCACAACTTGGGTGGTGGCGCTACTGGAACCTAGTGGGTAGAGGCCAGGGATGCTGCTAAACATCCTGTAATGCACAGGATAGCCCCTACAAACAAAGAATTATTTGGCCCAAAATGGCAACAGTGTTGAAGTTGAGAAGCCTAAAAAATAACAGCAACAAAAAACTACAAAGACACTGTTTGCAGGCTTCTTTATACCTCCGGAAAGATGATGCAAGACACTGGGCAATGCAATAAGAAGACTGAAGGATGATGTAATAATGATGATTTATTTCATAAAATAAATCTACCCTTTTATATTTTCATATTACTTTAGTCTTTTTTTTAGCACAGTTGGAAGTAATTAATAAATAATGATAAAATAGTGAATTGCTTTAAGATACAGGAAAACTATGATCCCTTAATGTATCTTAGATTTATGAAAGTTTTCAACAGACCCAATGGTAATTGAAATAATTAGTTTTATTCTATTATAAAAGTAAACAAATTTTCCTTTTATTTTGGAAGAAAAAGAAGAAAAAAGTTGTAAAATATCAATCCTTATAACGATTTAGAACAGCTCAAAAAAGAAACTCAAAAGCTAAAACTGGCTTCAACAGACTCTGATGGCAAACTGAGTTCCATGTGAATGTATGAATAAAATAGGAGACAAATGAATTTTCAAGTGACTTGAGTCTGGTAACTCAGTTCACAGGTATAACTAATTGGATAGGGTTATGAACATTTCATGGGCATGCTCACCAGTATTTTAATCCCAATTTCAAAATTAAGGAATTCCTCTTCAGTCATAACAGAATGGTAAAAAGTAAGAGGCTCAAACTTATTAAACAGTGACACCAGATAAGTTATTTAAACTCCTGAAGCCTGTTTCCTTACTGATAAAATAGGGATCATAATAGTACCTACCTTCATAGAGACTGCTTTTAAGATTAAATGAGAAAATAATGTGAAAAGTGATTGGCATGGCATTTGGTACACAGTAAGCACTTGATAAATGTTAACAATATCATCAACAAGGAATTAAACTTAAAGACCAGTGGCTACATTTTTCAAGAATGAGAATCCCTTTTTAACGTCAAAAAAGTTAATTCTACTTTTAGTATCTGATAGAATTTGATAATGATTTTAAATTAATTTTTACTTATCAAAATACCTTCTATATATCTTTGAAAGTAAATAAACAAGGTTATTATTACTCAGTTTACAAAAGGGACTGGTAAACTCCTTACGGAGCTGTAAATAAAGTTCCTTAATGCAGGATTCCAGATGCCCCTGGGTGCTACTGTTACTGGGGTAAGCTTATTCCAGGACCTCTTGGGCCCACATTCATTGGATGGTCTATGTATAACCTACAACCAGGCCAAAGAAAAAGTGGTAAATTTGGAAATTGGGGAAAAGACACCAAAGAAGAAAAATATCCTCTTCTCTTAGCATTGACACCTTTGCTCTTGAGAAATAACCAAGAGTTAATGGTCCCTGAACCCAGTTACATTGTGCTTCCAAAGTTATGGTCAAGCTCAGATAACTAGATCAATATTTAAACTCCATTTCACATATATTCTTTTCTAGTGGATCGAGACTATGGTGGTAAACCTATTTCCTCTGCTTCCAAGCTCAACTAACAACATATTTATACTTTGGTTTCAACTTCAAGGTTACCAGCTTGGAGAGGTCTTTCCAGAACCTAATATATTAGCCTTTCCCCCCAACCCTCAGGTAGTCATTCTTGGCACACTATTGTTTTTTCCTTCATGGCACTTATCATGATTTATAATCTTATACTTCTGCTTTTTACCATTTTAATATCTATTTTCATCATTAGATTGTATATTTCATGGGGGTCTCGTTAGGTCAAAACTCTATTTCCTAGTACCTATCATACAATAAATACATATGTATAGTCAGCATTCAATAAATATTTGTTAGATGAAGGCAGGCTAGGGCTCTGAATAGACTAAAAAGAAGCAGAGCTGCAGTAAAAATGTCAGCACGTAGAGAATTTTATAATATGGCAATACTGTTGTAGAGTCTACAGTATCTATGCCAGTCTAACTAAAACACATGAAACCTTTTCCAAACAAAGAGCATGTAACCAAATCCACTGATTATGACTAATACTTAAGAAAACTCAGTGATTTGCCTTACCAGTCCTGCATGGGAATAACTAAATCCTGCTTCTCGGGATACAGACCAATTGGCATGCTCTTCAATCACTGACATATCTGGAAACTTTACCACACTGCTGAACCAGTCAAACTCCAACTCTAAGCATGGAGTTTCCTAAGAGATGGAATAAAAGTGATTATATATATTGTGATTGACTGTCATAAAAAAAAAATCTAACTTATGATAATAAAAAGCTTACTTTATTTGGATTTGACCCAGTAACACCAATAGGGTTCAGCAAATCTTCTAGTCCATGAGGTACTGGCCAAAGATTCAAAGCCATTTTTCCAGATACTAGAGTATCTGTGTAATCAAACAAGTTTATATTTCCCCAGGCCAATGGACAATGTTCCTTAAAAAACAAACAGAAAAATATTCACCACTCTATGGATTATAAAATGCATTTCAAAACACTTTTCTTTCCCAGAAAGAATTCAACAAGTGTCTGTATAATGATGTCCATAACAAACCACATTAATTTTTTCAAAGTAAAAGTACTTTCTTTTTTTCTCATGTGAAATTACATGTATTTTCTTTAATTATAAGTAGGAAATATGAACCGAATCAAGCAAGGCAGATATGTGCATGGAGTCACTGAACAGATATTTGTGTGCAGTCACTTTGCATGTATCAATTGTATCAATACGAACTCAGGACCATACTTACTCACCCATCAGAAATAAATTCCGTAAGCTCTCCCAAAGTATTCTTCTATGATATTTATTAAATATTTAAAAACGTTTCATTAATTTTTTTTGCTGAGGAAGATTTGCCCTGAGCTAACATATGCTGCCAATCTTCCTCTTTTTGTCTGTGAGCCGCCACCACAGCATGGGCGCTAACAGATGAGTGGTGTAACTCTGCACCTGGGAAACCAAATGTGCACCACCAAAGCGGAGCTTGCTGAACTTAACCACTAGGCCACCAGAGATGGCCCTATTAATTTTGTTTAAATAAAAAGAAAAATAATATCCCTTCCTTGATAAAAATTCAATCAGCAGTATAACTGGGAGTTTTTAGAGATAAATATAATTACTTCTGAAATACTTTACCTCTTTAGCACCCTTTCTGCCTTTAACAGAACAAATGGAAAGGCAAAGTCGAGCAGCACGAGGAAGATCAGGAATGTATATATCGTAATTCAGCCATTCATTCCATCTATGTAAAATTTTAAAGAAAAAAAGAATTTACCAAAAGAAAGCTTTATCTAGAGATATAAATGACTCCTATAAATCATCAAGAAAAAGATAAATCAAATGAAAAACAGGGCAGAGATTGATGGAACAGATACTTCACAAGATCATATCCAAATGACCAATAGACATGAAAAACTAGTCAATATCATTTGTCATCCAGAAAACACAAAATAAAATCTTATAGAGATATCACTATACAAGAGAATGGCTAAAACTATAAAGACTGATGATACCCAGGAGTGGTAAGGATGTGTAGTAACAGGAAATCTCATACACTGCTAGTGGAGGCGTAATTTGTACAACCAATTTGGAAAAGCATAATCTACTAAAACTGACCCATGACTCAGTTCCACCTCTAGGTATAAAACCACAAATATTTGCACATTTGTGCACAGAATGCTAATAGAATTATTTACATTATCCCCAAACTTCAAATAACCCAAACGTCCAACAGGAGAACAGATAAACTATTGTATATTCATATAATGGAATACTATACAGCAATGGGAATGGACACTAGTTACTTACAATATGGATGAAATCTTACAAACATAATATTGAATGAAAGAAGCTAGACACAAAATAATATCTACTCCTTGAGTCTGTTTATATAAAATTCAAAAGCAGCCAAAACTATCCAATAGTGTTAGAAGTCAGGATGGTAGCTGACTTCTTTGGGCAGGACAGAAGGATAATGGATTGGGAGGGGGCATGAGGAGGGGCTTTTGGAATGCTGAAAAATGTTCTCGACCAGCATAGTGGTTGCACGGGTATTCACTGTGTGATAATTCACTGAACTGTACACTTATGATTTGTATACTTTTATGCATTTGTGCTACACTTCAGTAAAAAAAACATTTAAAACAAATTAGCTTATAGAAAAGGCAAACAGAAAAGGGAAACTAAATGAGATAAAATAACTCTTCCTATTATGATTACAATTATATTTAATTACTTTTAAATATGATGCAGTTTTATTCAGAAGAATCCATTAATTTAAATGTCAGTATATAAATAAAATGAAGGATATGTAAGGAGAAAGTACTTAAATTTCAGAATAACTACTTCACAAGAGGTAATAAAACTTGACATTCATAATAAGAATAAAAAGTTGCTATCAAAAGTGACGATAAAAAAATTTTTATGATAAATTGCTTCAATTTACTCCATATTACATGTGAAATTATGTCTATATTCAGTGGATATATTTTCAAAGAGCCAAGTACACTAAATAGTTTTTTAAAAAAATTACAGCAATGGTTAACAATATGGACTCAGAAGTCAGACTACCTGGAGTAGAATCTTGTTTCTATTATTTTACTAGATATGTGACCTTTGCTTTGTCTGTTTTCTTATCTGTGAAATGGGACTACTAATAGCACTTACTCTCATAAAGTTGATGTGAAGATTAAATGAGACAAAATAAATAAAGTAATTAGAGAAGTAATTGGTCCACAGTAAAAGCTCAAGTGCTAGATACTAACTTTGAAAACTTTTCAAATGGCTTCTTCATAATTCTATTTTTCGATAATAAATAAAACAAGACAACAATAAAATGGTAAAAAATTCTATTTTTAATTAGCTTAACTAAGGTATAAAACTTTATCAGTAAAACAAGTTATACTTATTCTAGTATCTTTGCTTGATTACAGACAAAGATAAACAGAAATATATGGTCCAATTATACAGGGAAGACATATTTAAAATGGAGGAACTTATTAGCAAGAAGGAATTCTAAAGGGGAAAGAAATAATAAATGCAGGGAGAAGAAATACTGTTGGACTAGATAAGTCCACCGTAATTTAAGAAAAATTAAAGATACATGTACTTAAATGTATTTAAACGTACCTAGGACTTTTTATTAGTTCAAAATCTTTAGAATTGCTCTAATTGGTGGGAAATTTTCTACACACTTTCTGAGAAAGCTATGTCCTATGACTGTAGTTGTTCAGTACTATGCAAACTGAATAAAACATGTTTCTCTCTTGTAAAGTCTATACAAGTGCATGTGCACTCACACACACACAATTAAGTTCTTTATTTTTAGGCAATGGTTTTGTGTGTGTGTGTGTATATATATATAAACAGTCCAAATTGATTCTGATTTTGGAAAATAACTGGCAACATTTTTATGAAGAAATCATAATGTATCTAATTTATCTAGCATATGGAAAGCACAGATTTAGAACAATCCATCTCAGTAAGAATTTTTAAAATAAATACTTCTTTATCTTTCTAAGAACTTCATATTCTTTTATCTCATTTTTTGGGGTAAATACAGAAAAGTCAAAAATTTACTTAAATCTTCACACTACTACCATAGGGATTTAGACTAGAGAATTCTTGAAAAGATAATCAAATATAAGTCCTTTCTAAATAGCTGGTTTAATTTACTAAAATTTTGACATTTTAATCTCACATTATTAAATAAATTTACCTTTTACTTTTATAAAGCTAGTCTACTTTTAGTACTTCAAACAACTAGGATAAATCTACCCAATATTATTTGGAGGTCTTTCCTTGGGGTTTGTTGAACTCCTTAGATTGTTGGTTTTACAGTTTTCACCAACTCTGGAAGATTTCTGGTCATTATTTCCTCAAATATTGTGTTTCTGTTCCTTCCACAACCACCCAGTCAACCTGTGACAGATATGCAGTACGAGTGCGAAAGAAACTTGTTGTTCTAACAAAAATTTCAAAAGATCCTGGGGCTGTATGTTGCCACAGCATAACTTCTAACCTGAATGATGGACTTTCTGACCTACAATAGTTCAGGTGGGTGAGGAACTATTCTTTCCCTTCCTCTCGGGAGAGAAGGCTACCCTCTCTTTGAATTTCACCCAGGCTCTAGAAGGGTGGCCACCTCAATTAACTTAATTACAACACCAGAACTTTTTCTTGACTCTTCTAGAACTCAGTCTAAATTCATTATGAAATTTTCTTCTGGAGGATTCACTAGTTAGCTCTATTTCTAGACTACGAAGTCTATCTTTAGTCTTTGATACCAATTTAAATTCTCTTAAAATATTGCTATTATATTCAGGGGTAGACTCTCATTCCCAAATGATCCTACAGAGAGAGGCAAAGAAATGGCAGGATGGCAAGTTTGTTGGATTATACTACCTTTTATTTCTTCATTGTATCTAGACAGTAATAATTTTAAATGCTCCCCATAATCCCCTTCCCCCTAAGAAATTGATTTGTTCCCAAAGACTCTTCATTTGAATGTCATAAACATCTATTCTCGGGAGTGATGTGAAGGAAACTGCCTCAGAGTAGTCCGGCTCTGCAGTTGATTGCCAACTCTCACTTCTAAATGTAAATGAAAATGGAGATAAAAGAATAAAAAGTCAATTTTATGGAATGTGGGGAATCAATGGCACAAAACTGTAACCACATTCTGTTCTCTCCTTGATACAATGGGAAGAGAGAATCAGAAAAACCCTTCCAATAAAATTTTAGAGAGAATCAATAAAGTCATCCTGTGATTGATACTCATTTGACAGGAAGTCTTTATGTTCTATATGTAAATGCCTAGTAATCTATATGACTTGTATAAAACTAATGATGTAAAATATACTACTTTTATTGATTACATTGCTAAACACTAATATAACTTTTAGAATATAAATCCATATACTTCTTTACCTGGGATTGGAACAAGGTACTCTTTGAGTGTTCACATTATCACATAAGGGTTCTCCTCCATGGTAGATACCTGTTCGAACATAGATCTAAAAAATAAAAAGTATGTGTATAAAAATATATACATACATACACACATGCAGACACACATACTAGATAGAACCAATATTAAACAATATCAAAATAATGTAACTGACATGAATGAGAGAATCAATTAAAAGTTTTTGTTCAGATGTAGCTTTTCTGTTCTTTTCTTCACATATATAGTAAGTTAACACTGACGAAGATTCTTCACTACGATTTGTTGTTGCCTTCAAGGGGACATCAGACTATTAAAGATCAATATAGTTCTACAATCCCTTTAAGCTAGGTGTGTAATTCAGAGTTTTTCATATTTTAGAAAGAAAAATTGGTACATATACTAAATATTACTTAATACTCTTAGCAGTTGGAGTAGCACTCCATAGAGACGTTAAAATTTCTGCAACAAAACACATGAAGATTTACACTAAGTGGGATAAATAAAGATTATAAAAAACTTTGCTACGGGTTGGGTCAGGTTTTGCTGCCAAATGAATTCTGTAAAACTTCTGATATTATAGATATTAGAATTATTAGAATATTAGATTAGGGATACTAGAATTACAGACAAAGGACTGTAAGCTGTGTAACAGCTAACGTAGATGAGTGGTTTTCTAGCCATCTGAAAATATACTACAGGTCAACAAATTATTATATAGTCCAATGAAAAAAGGTTTATATAAAATAATTTATATAAAATAATGAGTGTCAACACTTGACCTTACCTTGTCAATGTCTCGAATATTTACATTCACATAGGTTGCACAAAGAATTTTTATTCTGAGTGCACTATTTATAACCCAAAGGGATTTTGTAGATGTTTCTCCATTCATATATGGTGTAGCTGTGGAGATGCGTCTGGAATAAGATGGCATTGTAAAACAGTCCATTGGCAGTTGAGAGTAAAGGCTTTCTTTAGCCATCAACATCAAATTGGGCATCCTCCCAAGCATTATACAGCTTCTTATATACTGTAAGAGATTAAGGGGGCAGGGGAGAAGCCATTTCTTGTAAAGTTTTTCATTTTAAAAGCAACATATGAGTATGATGAGAGAATTTACACACTAATTTGCAAAGGTGATAAAAACAATCAAACATTATAGACCACATTTCTTAGCAGTTGTTATATTTATAACATTTAAAATACTAACATTTGAGAGTTAGTTACAGCACAGGATCAACCAAGCACCTCATGGAATAGAAACTGCATGAAAGAAAAAAAAAGGGTCTGGCTTCTGATACTACAGTTGTACCTTTAACTAGAAGCGAAGAAAAAAAAGGGAATTAAAAACAAAGATCAGAGGATACTCATGGAAACACTGTACTTGTTAAAGGAAAAGCAACAGCATTTAAGTCATTCAATCTATTAAGTCATATTGATGTCAAATCCAAGGGTTGCTGCCCACTTGCTCTTCTGTTCCAAGATTTTTGAGAAATATTTGTTTTGTTAAAAAACAAAACAAAACACACAGAGGAGACTCATAAAATTATATGATATATTTTAAAAAATATATTAAACTGCCTTGGTTTCAACTTAGAAATGGTAGTTAGGATAGAGATTTTTAATATAAGTTCTACTGTATACGTATTATAATAGCATATCTTCCTACCCCAAAGCCCCACTAGACTGTAACCAACCCAAAGGCCAGAACCGTGTCTTGCTTGGTATTGTAAAATCAGTACTCGGCATATGCTTGCTACAAATATAGCTACTTCTTATAGTATTTATTTAATGATAGCAATAGACAGTAGGAAGTATTAACAGTACATATTAATTAACAGTACATCATGGATTGTTTGAAATGTCTATTTTAATTCCTTCTAGTGCCAATGCTTGAGACGGAATAAAAATTATGAAATACCCCATATTTTGGGGTTAGTGTAATTGCTAACATTTTTTTTTGACAAGGGGCACAATGACTTTATTTCGCATGTTGCATATTCAAATGAATACAAAAACCCCCTTTTAAAAAAGTTAGGCAAATGAGAAGCCTTCTGTGCAAGTTCTATAGTATTTAAAATTCCTATGGGCTAATAAAAGTGTTTCCACTATAGAACTGGAGCTATCCAGAAAAGCATGTGATGCATTTTTTGCATGCAGAATACCTGAAACATAATCATCTCTTACCTCATGGCACAATTAAACAGTCATCATATCAAATGTTTGTATCTGAATAATGATATAACTATTATTACAATTACAAAAACATTAATCAGCTTATCCACATATGTACAGTTAGATCCCCAAATATTAACTATATAAAATCTCAAGGAAGAACAGCATCTGTTCTCTCAAATTAAATTCATCATCAATCTCTCATTAAATATAGTACAAAAAATAAACTTACAAACGCTAATTACTAATATTAATTATTTAATTTTCAGAAAGTATGTCCTAAAAATACAGATATTAGTCCCCAATGTAATTACTTTTTAAATTTAAAATTAATATTTTTGAAACTTTTACTCACCTTATATTGACTGAGAGGATATTTTTCTAAGAAGTATTCATCACATCCACACACTTTTAAAATATACTTGCCCTGATATTCTAAAACACACAGTTTTAGCTGTTCAGATGATAGCAACATACTTCGAGTTTTTTTCCTGATTGCTTCAGCAATTACTTGTTCTGGCACACAGTCATGGTTGATTTTCAGAGTATACTTTTGCTTGTCATTATTTGGAGAAACTATTACCCAAATCACCACTATTATTTGCCCTATAAGAGGAAAACAATAAAAGATGCCATCATCACATGTATTTCATTTTTTAAGAGACATATTTCAAAAAGTATGCAATACCATTACTCTAACCATAATCAGAAATGGTTTATAATCAATCCAATTAAATAGAGGTAAGTATCAGGTAGAAATAGCAAATCTTCAGATCTGATAGGGCTGCCAGACTATGCTCAAATCTCATGTTCTATAGCAAGCACGCAAAACTGTGACTAGTGGGTCACAAGGACCTGAGACAAGCTAGTTTCCATTCTAAAATGCATGACATACTTCATGGATACAACTCTTGTGAAGAGAGATTCACGATGGTATCAAAGCTTCAACAGCACCAAAGTAGAAGAGTTTTTGGTAACTATGGGAAAGAATCACGGAGACTTAAAGAAAGATGCTGACTCAGAATGAGAGAGAAGATGGGGGAGGAAGAGGAAGAAGAAGAATTTTCCAATTTTTCCCTTTTAAGATTAATTAAGCCAGGGGACAATAAAAAATGTGATGAAAATGAAAAGATTAAAACTATGTTACTGTGGTCTTGATGTTCACAGTACAATTCTTTTAACTTTTCTATATGCTAGAAAATTTTCATAAAGAATGTTGGGAGAAAATGCAAAGAACATTCCACTTTTAAAAATTTGCTAGAATAGAAAAGAATTTCAAATAAAGATCTTTGTTACACCGCATCAAACTACTTTGAATAATACGAGTGAAATAGTAGTAAGATGTCTTAACTTGTTCTACTAATGGAATTTTATATTTAATAGTGTGTAAGAGTTAATAATATTCTATAACTTTGAATTGAAACCTTCACTGTTATTCTGAAAAATACAGATATTTATCTGATACAATGATGTTTTCATTTCCAAAACAGTATAGTTTTTTATTTTCATGTCCACTTAATTCTAGAAATTGATACATTGTCAAAAGTCAACCTATATCACTCATTATGACCAGATTTGATTACTGCATTTAACATTAAGATAAAGAAATTTATTTTTTCTTTGTATATAACAAGAATGTGTAAAATTTTTCCAAAACTTCATAAAATGTTTTTATTTATATTTGTTTTTATTTATATAAAGATAATCAGCTGTAATTCTGTAATATTGAATTTCAAACTCAAAGTTCTTTAGTTTTATTCTGAGATAAACAATTCACCAAGAGATCAGCACCGTATGTACACAATTCATTCAATCAATAAATACTGATTGCACACAAGTTGTGTACTTGGCACTCAACTATATCTTGTCAGTATAAGCAGTCCCTGCCTCCAAGAAGCTTTATCATCTAGCTGGGATAAAAAGACTGTACAAAAATATAGCACAGATAGTAGTTTTCAGTACAGTGACCAATTATGGTAGACTGACAATTTTCTTACCTTTATCTAATTTATTATATATGTGCTTTGGCAGTTCTGGTGAAGATTCTACATTTGGAGGGTAGACATACATTGCTCTACTATGAGGTGAATTAAGATCCCTAAGATCCACAGCTTCTTTACAAACATTGAGAATATTTCTTCGGAAGTCCTGCACTTCTGGATCTTTAACCATATCAAATTCACACACTGGCATACCAATAGCAAAGCCTTAAAAAAATTATATACAGAACATTATATTAAACACAGTACGAACATGTTTCTTACAAATAGGGAACTTGGTAGATTTGGAAGATCACAACAGAGTAGATAAGTTTTTCCAGGTTAAAAAAATTTTTGATGAGGGGGCTGGCCCCGTGGCCGAGTGGTTAAGTTCGCGCGCTCCGCTGCAGGCGGCCCAGTGTTTCGTTAGTTCGAATCCTGGGCGCGGACATGGCACTGCTCATCAGACCACGCTGAGGCAGCGTCCCACATGCCACAACTAGAAGAACCCACAATGAAGAATACACAACTATGTACCAGGGGGCTTTGGGGAGAAAAAGGAAAAAATAAAATCTTTAAAAAAAAAAAAAAAATTTTTGATGAATACATATAGTAAGAGTTGCCAAGGACTCAAATATTTTTAATATATAAAACATAGTCAGCAATTTGGAGCAAAGGCACCAAACACTATCCATACCAATTAATTTTTTAATAATAAAAAAACTGGGATATAACAAATCTAAGTCATCTCTACAAATGACACTTCTTAAAGAAAGCTTTATAGAATAATATCAAGGTGTTAAAAATAGCTCCTTGGTCCAAGAGTCAAAAAATACTTTGATTTGTAATGATTTTTATTTTGAAATCTATTTATGTAAGATTACAAAAGTAATTAACTGATTCAGAGAGAAATACTTTAGTAAAAAGAAAATAGTTACGTTTCATAGTTATTTGCATTTAGAATAGGATGACAATGCCATTTAGTTGAAAATTGTATCATACCAATTTCTCGATTGAGGATCTTTTCTTCACGGTTGCCTACTGGTTCAATAACTTTTAAAAAGGGTTGAAAAAGCCGAAGGTCACAAAGTCTTCTCGTTTCATCAAAAAATTCTTCCCTTTCTGCTTCTTGGGTAACACTTACGAAAATGTAAGAAGATTCATCTTGAAGAAGTTGATGGAGAGGGTATTTTCTCGCTTCTTTAAATAGTTCATGCTTTATAGTTATTAATGTGGCCTCACGGAGGCATTCTAAAGTCACTATCATTCCATTTGGTAGTAAACATTCTACTAGGATTCTCGGGGGCATCAAGTGGATGCCCCACAGTTCACCTGATGATGGTCTTGGAGGCATTGTTCTGATCCTTTACAAGTTTTACATATAAAACTACTTTAAGGAATTAGTTGTGTGGCTGTCCCAAAGCAGAAATCTAAACCAAAGAAAGAAAACACATGTTAAAACAGAAACAACCATAGAAGAATACATTTATGGCACGACTAAGTGTAAAAATTCATTTTCTGTAGTTTGAATTGATTAAGGTAGGTAATAGTAATCCATCTTAAACATTTTGAAAGAGACTGTTGTTCCAAATTAGGCTGAAAGAATTGATTCCAAAGCAGAAATCAGAAAAACCATTTGTGTTTAATTATGTTTAATAAAGTCATTGAATAAAAAAACATTTTATTCGAGTGGATTTTTTAAGTCAGGTCTTACCAAGGCACAGCTGAGGCTTTGGGAAGAATAAACAGTAAGTTGTAACTGAAAGCAAAATTCCCATCATATATTCTCTTATATTTTATGCAGCAATTGAATTTGGGCTGGAAAGGATCTTTTAGATCACAGATATATTGCTCTCATTTTAAAGATGAGCAGAGGGTAGAGAAGTCAGAGCCTTTTCCTTTTTCACCCCCTACCTCCACCCTGTGCTAATGAGAAATTACATGGCTTAGACTTTTTTTCTTCTTAAATCAATCTTTGCAATTTCCTTTTTTGTATTGACTACTAAGTGATATCTTAGACCATTCTGTTTTTAAATATAATTTAGGTATATATTCACTATAATATAAAGTGTTATCAATACATTTTCCTTGAGATATGATGAATTTGCAATGATTCATCTACTTCATCAAATAACCCAGTCCTAATACTTCTGATTAAAATAAATTGAACACACACCCATTGACTCTCTTTGTCAGTACAATGTTCCAACCAACTGTGTTAAGCACTTGTGATATTTTAAAATATATTAAGTACTATTATGATTTGAAGCCCTCATTTTCTTAGATGTCAACCATCTAGCGGTTCTTTTAGAAGATACTGTGAAAACCCACAACACACAAATCTATTTCTTGCTGTTTATGTTTAAATTTTCTTTTATTCAGTAAGCTAAACTGTAAAGGTATGAGAAAAGGTAAAGTGAAAGATATTAAGGAAATAAAAAATAAATGAAAGTTAAGCTAGAGAAATGAATCAAAAAAGCCCAGATAACTTACTATATTTGATTACTCTAACAGGCACTGTGGACAACAGCAATAAATAACACTTTGTTTATTCACCAAAAGTGTATTGCTGTTCCCAGGACCATGTTAGGTGCTGGGAATATAATGATGAATAAGACAGACGTGGCCCTTGCCCTCACAAGACAAAGTCAAGAATGTGAAGATTATGTGTACGATGGATGTGAGGTAATTATATTCACAGGTACAAAACAGAAAAAATGCTCTCATGGAGAAGTGCCAGGTGCTATAAAAGCACATAGTGTGGTCACCTAAGTCAGTGGAAGGTGGAGTGGGAAGGTCTTCCACATATACATGGGGTTAACATACACACTGAATTCTTTAAGGTTAAGCAGGAGTTGAACAAACATAATGAGAAAGAGGCAAGGAGCACGATGTATCTAATCCAGAAACCTGCCATGTCTGCCTCCCCTATGTCATACCTATCAACATCTAATTTATCAACAAATTTTGTTAACTCCATCTCTTCAATCTGTCTACACTCCTTCACTACCATTCTCATTACCGTAGCTCAGGCCACTGGTATTTCTTGTCAGGACCACTGCAAAGGCCTGAATGGTCCCCCTGCATCTATGTTTTCCCCCTGCAATTCATCTTGAACCTCACAGCCAGTGTGACCTACAGAGAACAATAGGGCCTAGTTTGATGAGACATTTCTGCTGTACCAAATCTCAGTTGCAAACAAGTGTATGCTTTCGGAGTTATAGGAAGAAGGTGAGAAGCAGAAAGAGCAAAAATTTCAAGCCCTCCCTCCACTCTGAAAATACAGAAATCAAATGGAAGATAATACAGTATATAAAATTATTTTTTAATAGTTGAAAATATTTGTCTTCAAATTTCTAAAAGAGACCTACTGAAGTTATAGGATTTAAAATATAATTATCCTATTTCCTATACTTTTAAAAGAAAATTCATTGGCTGGTAAAAAGACCAGATGGATCAATCTGTGTGCATAATTATAGAAGTGACTTGAGCTAAGCTTTAAAAAAAATACAAAAAAATTTAAAGAATGCAAGGGAAAATGCCAAATGATGACTCTTAAATGATGATCTGCCTGCATAAAAAAGTTCAAATGAAAACAAAACCAAACCACAAGCCACACCAAAACAGCAGCTGTGTTTACAGTTTTCTTTGTTGAATGGCGCTAACAGGTCTATTTTATAGAATCATGGAGGCAACTATTTTATATAATAAATAACAACCCACAGAGTCTCATATGTTCCCAAAGAATTAGCAAAAGAGAAGTCTAGTACAGTAGTCAGATCACTGATCCCAATCCTTATTCTACTATAGTATATTTATGGGCAATTAACAACTATCAACCACTCAAGATATACCTTTCTCATTAAGAGACTAAATATGATCATAGCCATAAATACTTGGAGATCCTGGAAGGCAGGCACTGGTTGACATTCATGGTAGTACTATACAAAAGAGAAAGGATGCTACCTTTTCTTCTTCGTCACCTTATGCCAGGCCTTATTCTGTACAAACCACTACTTCAGAGCTCACACAGACAGAAGTGTAGAAGAGGCGAATGGCGCTAACATTTGCTATTTAGCATACACCATGCGTTTAGGCAGGCAATAACCCTTCTGGGGTAGGTATTACCATTTTACATATGAGGAAACTGAAGGTCAAAGAAGTAAAGTTATTCACTACCAGTAAATGTTAGATATGGATTTTGAATCCAGGCCTAGATGATTTCAAAGTGCACATTACAGTCATGTCGCTATTTGGGTTTCAGATCTGGCCAGGTAATATCCATTGGTGGTGAATAAGAGAATGGATTCAAATTCTGGCTGCCATAAAGTTGTGTGGCCTTGAGCAGTTTAATTCATCTCAGGGAACCTCATTTTTTACCCCCACTTGTTAAGTTGAGATAATGGCATATACACACTTCTACATGAAAAACACGTAAGCCAAGAAACGGGCACACGGAAGTGCTCAATAAATGTTAAATTTTAATAATAAACCTGTAAAGTATACCCATATTATCTTTTCAAGCTATTATGAATTATCCAGGACGGGCACCAGAGAGGGATGGGAAAAAGGGGTTTAGGTTCTTTTATAGAGGGAGCTAAGTAAATAAGGAGCTTCATAAAGAAGTGCCAGTTTCAAGTGCTGAAACTTGAAGGTAGCCTTGGTAATGCAAGGCTCACCAACTCTAGAACTGTACTGAGCGGCTAGGATGTTGGTACCCTTGCAGCTGCTTCTAGTTCTCCAGACTCCTAATATTCCTATTTCAATGGTAAGGTACCTACAGCTTAGGTGTGAAGAATCCCCTGCTATCCTTTGTTTTGGAGAAATATCTGCTTCTGCCAGGCCCTAGATTGAATATGCTGTGAAAACAAGGTAAATAAGATGCTTTCCCTTCAGTTGTTGAGGGACTCACAGCTAACTGGGGAAAGACAAGACGCAGGAACAACTTTAACAATGGAAAATTGTTACAAGACAGAATATAAACCTAGAAAAGTCACAGGAAATATCCAACTGCCTGAAGAGGTTAAGGAAGGCATCAGAGAGGTAAAGTTTAAGTAGAATATTATGGATTAGTCGGGATTTCAGAGAGAAGGGGTAGCTTGGACAGGGGAGAGCTAGATGAGGAGGGTGGTTTAGACTGCCACAAGAATGTGTGTGTCAAGTCACAGACCATGAAAGAACGCAGCCTGTTACCAGCAACACAAGTTGTCTTTTATTACTTGAGTCTGAAGTACATGGGAATAGGCAGGGTGTGTGATAAGGAAGGAGGTTGAGAGGCAGGCTGGGGCCAGAGAGGTGGACAGACTCCATGCTAGGGAGTTTAAATTTTATGTAGTACACTGTAAGAAAAAGGGAGTCTGAACTATTGTGAGCAAAAGAATAACATGACATTTTTACTCAATTTTAAAATTCAGATTTCTTTAAAAATTTGCTTTCCAAATACAGGATATAATCAAACATTAAACAAAGGTATAAAAACTATATCTTCTTAATTCCCCCAATTTGGAGAAATCCCCAAAGGTAAGAAATCAGAGTACATAACATCTTAAATAAATGTGCCTTTACACTAGAGAAAAAATTAAATGTTGATAAAGAAGGTGGAATTACCCAATCTTAAGTGCATAATCTATTTACAAAGAAAAAGAAGTTATTTGAAAAGCAATACAGGGGAATAAATCACTATAAAGGTAATATTTAAAATACAAATCTCCGCAATTTACAGATTTGAGGTCACAAAAATATATTTGCCAAAAATAAAACACTTGAAGAGTCAAGGAACTACTCTATTGTGTTTCTGAGTTCAGAATGGGAGGACTAAATATTCACATACTGACAAATCACAACTATTCAGAAGTCTTAGGAAATAAGTTGGTTTTGCCTACCCTAATTTTTTATATATTTAATGATAAGTTATTTCAATTGGGTGGTGCTGTTTTCTTAAAAGAGTCTATATAATTCATAATTTACCCTTTTCTTGAGGAGCTACATCCTTCATTATAAAACCAAATCCTGTGCTATACTAAAACACAATGTAGAAGTCTCTTGAGTATTACTGAGGAGTCTGAGGGTATTTCTGGCCCTAAACCAACGACCCCAGGGTGGAGATAGTGCTTTTTAAAATGCTCCATCCCTTGTTTTCTAGCAGTCAGTGGTCACTTCTCAGCTGTGGCCAGCCTGCCTGATGACAGCAGCCTTCTCTTCTTCTGTTATTCATTTCTAGTAGTCAGCAACAACACTTGACCACCATTTTATAACAGTCTGTAAACTAAGGGCCAAGAGACCAATGATATTATGAGAACCTCTGCCGTATGAGCTTAGGAGCACAAAATATGTAAACAGATGCCTTGTTCATCAGAGATTTTTGTTTACTTCCTTGTTCTGGTATTAAAATTGTTAAAATTTACTGTGTTTGGGCAGTAGGCATTGAAAGTCTTTTGGTTCTTAGAAGGCCTGAACCTGCATTTATTTCTTGATGAGGGTTGGTCTGCATTAGCAGCCCAAGGAGGGGGGATGGTCATCATTTAAGGCAAGGGTAGTCAAACTACGGCCCACCCACAGGCCAAATCCAGCTCACCACTTTCTTTCATAAATAAAATTTAATTGGAACACAGCCAATAAACTGTTTACATATTGTTAATGCTGCTTTCGTACTACAGCAGCAGCACTGAGAAGGTGCTATGGAGACCACGTGGCCTGCAAAACCTAAAATATTTACTATCTTGCCCTTTGCAGAAAAAGTTTGCTGACCTCTGATACGGTATCACAATTATCTGATATCAACTGGAGAATTTTCTAAATGCACATTGGTTAATAAGTCATCCCCAACCCTGTCTTTGTAATCAGAATCTTACACTTTTAAGTCCTTTAAAAAGAAAAAAGCACTAATTTTAAGCCAGTTAAGTTAAAATAATGAATAGGAAAGTATCTCAGAAGTCACTTACTTGGATATTTTCACTGTTGGGAGCTCACTACCTAACACAGAAGTTTTTGTGGAGCACTTGTAAATTTATCCCTAAACATTGTTCTTCCTAAACTTCTTCATTCCATTCGTTTTGCCTTCTCCATCTCTCCACATACTCGACAGCTACTGGAATTTTCCCTAGGTCTTTTTACCCCAAATTCCTTTAACGATGATTCAAGAGAGTTAGTTTACCGTCATCTTCTTTGGGCCATAGTTTGGGCCATACCCTTGCCCTAAATGATGAAATCTGGAAATACCAGTCTAATTAACAGAAGTGGAGAAAGGCTTTCAATTCAAGAGTTGAAAAACAAATTCTCAAAATGTCATTGTCTTCTTGGACTGAAAGAGTGCACGTAAAATTTTCAAAATATTGAACTGCCCAATGAATTAAGAAACTTTCCACTAATAAGTCAAGCGACAATGGAGAGGCTGAGGCTATTTTCTACTGTTCATTTCTGCTGCTTATTTCATCCTGAAAGGTGTCTTTACTCCTGCTGAGCAATATATTCCCCACTTGGAGTGCTAATGCAGACAAACCCTCACCAAGAAATAAATGCAGGTTCAGGCTTTCTAAGAACCACAAGACTTTCAGTGACTCCTGCCCAAACACAGTAAATTTCAACAGTAATTTTAATACCAGAACAAGGAAGTAAACAAAAAAGGATGGATTTCTACAATTGTACCTTAATACACTCATTAAAATTATCTACATTCATAGTTGACTTCCTGCTAGACTGAACTTTTCTAGGATAGGGCCTTTTTCTGGGTAACTATAGTCCTAGAGCATAGTGGTGTAAGTAGGAAAACTAAATTGTTGAAATTATCCCAGGGAAAATGCAACAAAGGCCTGAACAAAGAAACGCAGCAACAATAACAGCAAGAAAGAGATGGATGAAGACATCTTACAAAGGAAAATCAAAAGCCCTGAGAGACCAAATGAACTTGAGGTATGAGAAGCATCATTTTAAACAAACTGCACAGCAGTGGATATGCATGGGAAGCAAGTGCCTTCCAGTACAATTTTCCTGAGCCCCAGTTAGGGCCTCTCAAACTTGCTTCCTCTAAGAGTCACTGAGCTGTTGGAGTGAGTCCAAAGGGACAGCTGTAATATACACTAGCTCTGGAAGGATGCATATTATCTATTTTTCAAAGTGCTGTCCTTCACTGACCTTTACAAGCTGACCATGAGAAAAGAGATTTAACTCATTCCTTTAGTGATTCAGACAGACCCTAACTCCAGGGTGGAAAATCAAGTTCTCATGATCAGTATGTAGAAAATTCAAATTCCTTTAGTAGGGGATGCAATTCATTTTCACTATTAAATTCACAGTGCTATGAAAGGTGTTATCAAAAT